ATCATAAATGATTGTTAAGTAACTTCTTTCTCACAAGATGCCCTGGCGAACGGAAGGGCCTTATAAGCAGCCTATATCAATGGGGTCGGCCTGAGGCATCACAGACTCTAAATGTCTTCTTTGTCCCCCTCTCTCTGAAGATAGACAGGTCTATATGGTAAATTTCTTACAGATAAAACTTAAGTATATATTGAACATGTATATTCACATGTGTGTGATGACGTATGAGATGACCAAATTTCAAAGTTCTTCAAAGTTCTTTACATGCACCCTGATAAATAAAAGATATACTTTAAGTTCAAGTCAACTTTTTACACAGACCCCCGAAAACAACCTGCTATTTCACATTGATGTTAGAGGTCTATTGTATATTTTAACAAATTAGATTTTCAGGGTAAATTAACATCATTAACATCATGCTGCCTATCTCTTGTGATAAAAATACGTTGTATCTGCAGGCGTTGGAAATGTAACAATGACTAATTTTCTTTTATGCTTTTTACTACGATATGGAATTAACACTATTCGATGGCTTACAATGGATGAGTCTAATCATTGACCACACACGCCGACACACGCACACAGACACACACATAAGCATCTTAAACGGGAGTGTGTGTGAGGAACGCTTGAGGAGAACTCTCAGGATCTTTTGTATCACATTCACAATATTAAACACAACCCATTCATGAATTGTATTTGGACATCTGTGTGTTAGGAGCTACTTCTTCAAATCTCTAAAACATGTAAGATGAGTTTGTTTATTGCTTAATTAATTGTTTCAGTAAGATATTTATCGTATATCGTTTATTTTATAAGGATTTCAGTTATATACTTTTAAAAACACGGTGTTTTTCCAACTTCAGTGTAAAACATATGATATTCGCACTTTCACATTGGGGATATTTTGTATTGCAACTTATTGCATATGAAAATGTAAGATGAGTTTATTTTTGTTTAAAATAATTGGATCTGTAGACGTTTAGAAAGACATTAGATATTTCCAAACCATTTAATTCATATCATAGAATGGTTTTCAACTTCAGTGTGGAATAGTATATATTATATTTATACCATTTTAAAGAATGTTTTTCAAATCTAGTTAGTATGAAATATCTGTAACTGACTAAATGTAAAATAATCATTTCATTTATACAATTTTAAAAAATGTTTTTAAACTTTAGTGTAACGCATTTGATATTCTCACTTTCTCCTTCCCCACCAATCCCCCTCTCCTCTGAAATGTGGTGGGACGAGTCCGTTCAAACATAAAACCTTACATCATATCAACGATTCCCTTATAATCACAAGGACAAGAGATCCCCTTCGAACATAAATCTTACATCGTATCAATGATTCCCTTATAATCACGAGGACTGTCGCATGACACACCTATTATTCAATTACACACCAGGTCATACGACACAAGGTCACCACAGGTCAAGGTCACCCAAGGACGCAGGGAGGAGGGGCCGGGTCAAACACAGGGCACGGGGAGGGGGCGGGTCAAAGGTCGTCATGGTTAATTAAAAACCCATTAATCATTTTGACACAAGCTCCATCATATTACTACTGCTGACGAACAGGAGAAACACTGTTCGCAACAATACAGTCAAAAGATTTTTCCGTCTACAAATTCCCATCATTTACCATGGATTTACTGTAAAGTTAGCCTAGTAATAATAACTGCACCCCGAAATGTGGGATATACACTCACCAAAAGGATTATTAGGGACACCTTTTCAATTTCTCAATGCAATTATCTAAATCAACCAATCGCATGGCAGGTGCCTCAAAGCATTTAGGGGTGTGGTCCTGGTCAATAAAATCTCCAAACTGAACTTCGGAATGGGACAGAAAGGTGATTTAAGCAATTTTGAGTGTGGCTTGGTTGTTGGTGCCAGAGTATTTCACAATCTGCTCAGTTACTGGGATTTTCACTCACAACCATTTCTAGGGTTTATAAAGAATGGTGTAAAAAGTTGAAAATGCCTTGTTGATGCTAGAGGTCAGAGGAGAATGGGCCGATTGATTCAAGATGATAGAAGAGCAACTTTGACTAAAATAAGTTGAGTCGTTACACTCGTTACAACCAAGGTATGCAGCAATTAAGCATTTGTGAAGCCACAACACGCACAATCTTGAGGCGGATGGGCTACAACAGCAGAAGACCCCACTGGGTACCACTCATCTCCACTACAAATAGGAAAAAGAAGCTACAATTTGCAAGAGCTCACCAAAATTAGATAGTTGAAGACTGAAAAAAATGTTGTCTGGTCTGATGAGTCTAGATTTCTGTTGAGACATTCAGATGGTAGAGTCAGAATTTGGCGTAAACAAAATGAGAACATGGATCCATCATGCCTTGTTGTTACCACTGTGCAGGCTGGTGGTGGTGTAATGGTGTGGGGGATATTTTCTTGGCACAATTTTGGCCCCTTAGTGCCAATTGGGCATTGTTTAAATGTCATGGCCTACCTGAGCATTGTTTCTAACCATGTCCATCCCTTTATGGCCACCATGTACCAATCCTCTAATGGCTACTCCAGCAGGATAATGCACCATATCACAAAGCTTGAATCATTTCAAATTGGTTTCTTGAACATGACAGTGAGTTCACTGTACTAAAACAGCCCCCACAGTCACCAGATCTCAACCCAATAGAGCATCTTTGGGATGTGGTGGAACGGGAGCTTTGTGCCCTGGATGTGCATCCCACAAATCTCCATCAACTGCAAGATGCTATCCTATCAATATGGGCCAACATTTCTAAAGAATGCTTTCAGCACCTTGTTGAATCTATGCCACGTAGAATTAAGGCAGTTCCGAGGGCGAAAGGGCTTCAAACATAGTATTAGTATGGTGTTCCTAACTTCATAATAATCCTTTAGGTGAGTGTACATATTGAATTGTATTATATTACTAATGTAGACAATGTATTAAAGGACTAATGGAATATAATTACAGTACAGATAATGTATTTAGGCTACTGTTTTTCATACAAATGCCAAAAACCATAGTTACATTTTGCCATGATAGTGAGGTGCTATAGGCAATGCTTGGTTTTATCTGTGGTTATGATCTAAATGCATATACTGGATGACCCATGGTTAATGTTAATAAAACTCAAAGTCAGAATATTACATTTTACCAAATAAAATTGAGGTTTTTTTTTTTTTTTTGGATTTTAATGTTTTTGTTAATGAACATAAATTTAACTTAATAAATCTGCATCCTAACTTAAGCTATTTTTAAGCTAACTATATTATAACAATAATATTAATATTAATATTGTTGCCTGACCATCAAAGTCAGGCAACACAAACCTGTTTCAAGACTTGAAACAATATCCCCCATTAGCACATGAAGAAACTATTACATTAATTTTTCTATTAAGATATTTATTTTGTTAATGAAAAATGACAAATGTTTGAATGTTCAAGCTGAGATTTGTGAAATGTTCATCTGTTTGTCATATGTTCTGACAGTAAAAAGTACTGTAGTTTAAAACCACAATTAACACTCTTTTTTTCTGCCTTTAAACTTAAAAATTTGACATTTATCGTGACTGATATAAAACTGCCATATCGCCCAGCCCTAGACTCAGTACTGTCTACTGTTTAACTTCAATACTGAGGGTGGAGTAAAGGAGAAGAAGGTCTGCTCACCTCTTCATCATGTCCTTGAATTTCTATAGAAAATGTAGGAAATATGAAAAGTTAATGAAGCAAATGAGCAGCAAGCACTAAATCGTTTTTACTATTTTTCTCTCAGGTTATTGTCCTGCTGTACCTTTTAAAATCATGCAGAGGGAGAGCAGAGTAAACAATAAAAAAAAAACAAGCAGAGAAGAAATAACTTAGAACTAACCTGAAGGAACTGGATGTCCCCACTGTCCAAATTACCTCTCAATTCTCTTATCAGTCCGGACAGAGATAATGTTTCGGCATTTATCTTCTCAATTTCGTCTTTCAAGATCTGTTTTTTCTGTGTTTGTTCCTCGTTCAGTGCAGCAAGCATGGCTTGTTCTTCATCATACAGAAGCTGACGAAGATGCTTAAAGTTCTTCCTGATGACATTCTTTGTGTGCAAAACCTGGTGCTAAACAACAAACAGACATGCACGGTATATGTCATATAATTATTAGTAAAAATCGAAATAAATTAGACTCATAACAAATCAGACTTACAGATATGTGCACAGCCTGTTGATCATATTGTAATTTGGCGTGTTGCATCATCTTCAGTTTTCTAGTCAAGAGACTAATTTCTCTCCGAAAAGGTTTCTAAAAATAAGAGTTTGTTAATCAGAATACTAAATATGGCAAAATGGATTGGTCACTAGACATCGTGTAGGCCTAACTTACCTTTCGTTCCTCAGCGAGCTCATTAACAGGACGGCACGTATGTGTTTTGTGTTCGAGTGACTCTCTGCAAACCAAGCACACGAGCTGTTCATCATGCAGACAGAACAGACTCAGTCTCTCCTGGTGAATCTCGCACAGCTCCTCTGAAAGGCCTCGGTAAACCAGGAAAGCTTGGCATAAGTTTTTCAGTGCCAGGTTAACGGGAGGGTTCCTGTTGTTGGTTCTTTTTCTGCACACCGGACATTCTCTTGAGCCTTTGCTCGTCCAGTACTGTTGCGTACAGTTTCTGCACAGACTGTGGCTGCACTGAAGCAACACGGGATCTTTGAAAATGTCACGACAAACAGGGCACGTAAAATCCTCTTCAACAAAGGGACGTTTCGACGCCATCTCCGCCACTTTGCGCTAATACCCAAAAAAACCTTTCGTTTTCGTTTTCTGTCAAACTAGCCTACACTTTCGTTTCATTGCAAATTAGTTCTGATATGCGCAACAGAAGAGCTTTGTGGCAACTACGTAACACAGACAAGACATTTCGAACCTTGTCCTTGACCGAAAGAAGAAAAATAAATTCAGTTAACTTACACAAATAAAGTAGCCCACCATGGAAAGGATTTTTTTGGTTTTTGCAGGAACTTTCCAATCGCAAACTTCATAACCAAAAGGAGTGATCTCCCTCAAGAAGCGCAACTGAATATACGGGAAGCCAAAAGGTTAAAAAGGTTGTATTTTTTAAAATTATTTTTATTTTTATTAGAAGCGAGTTTTTCCTCATCTGTCTGTTAAAAAAAAATAAAAAAAAAATAAATAGTAAAAAAAAAAAAAAAAAAAACAATAATATGAGAAACTCTTTTTATCATGTGTATTTTGGTGACATTTAAGTTGTGACTTGATAGGATACTGATAGGGACATTGATGTAGGGATTTTCATGTTTTTGTGTTTTTATTAGTAGTAGTTAAGGTGATTGAGTGGTGTATTTCAGTTTTTTTTTACTTCTTTGTGTGTATATATTTTAATAAAGACTGTTATTCTCAGTCCTTCATATAGACCATGAGGTTCTTCAGTCAGAGCAACCCCTAAAAATTAAGTTTTACTATTAATTTACTGTGCACATCCCTGAATTGGCTTTATGCACAGCTGCACTACTCCCTGAACTTCAGCCAGCTCCTTTGTTTCCTGTCTGCCATTATTGGACAAACTGATCAATTCAGGTGTGCCTGACCTCAGTAGTCACAACAACAATAATCAGACACACCTGGCACACAAAGGAGCTGGCTGAAGTTCAGAAAGTAGTGCAGCTGTGCATTAAGCATAGAGGCATAAAGCCTGACTCCAATACATTAACTCTTTCCTCGCCATTGACGGAAATTCCAGTCTTTCCATGTTTTCACCGGTAGGGGGCGCTATCTCATTTGCGACTCTCCTATGATTTAATCCGATTAAGACAAAAATGCGATTTTCAGCTTTTTGCTAAAAATGTTGCTTTTGAAACCAACTCACATTCAAGTGTTGATAAACAATCCATTAAGCTAAAAAAAAGAAAAAGTAAAAAAAGAAGAAAAAGGGGCTCTTTCTTGTATGTTCAGATATTCATAAAACAAAATATTCTGGGTGTCCATTGTGATGATGGGGGCCATTGTGCCACGTTTAATACACATGTATACCTTACCTTTAAAGGGATTTCTGAACTACTAGCACTTAAGAGACGAGTTCCAAACATATTTGCTCAGGCTCACTTTGTACAATCAAAAGGACAATTCAAATAAATAAAGAGTAGTTTCAAATTTCATTTTAATTTCAGATCTATGTAAAATAGAAGGGTGCACATCACAATACATTATTCACGGACTGAAATATTGATCATATCCTTCCAAAGGAGAAAATATAAAGAGATGTGGTTTTGTCATGACAATTACCAGTTCTTGTATTATCAGTCCATATGAACTGAAATACACTTGTGGGCACTGATTGAGGTAAAAAAAAAAAAAAAGAAGATCCATATGAAACAAAAGGAAATGTTATTTTGTCACTAACATGCTATGAATGCATGTTAGAGCAGCAGTCAGAAAAAAAAAAACATGCATTCCCAACAGATGAAATAAATGCCTACTTCATCTAACAATATATAGCTATATGCATTTAGAGCGCTGAAAGACAAAATATTTGTGTTCCCTTTAGTGCGAAAAAGAAATATTCATGTCAGCCTGACAAATAAGTATTTTATCTGTATATACAAAACAACCTAAACCTCAGGTTTTAAACATTTTGGAGCCAGTGTACACACAAATTATCAACTCAAAAATGTCCCATTATTGCACATGTAATTTATATCTATTAACTCCCCCTCCCCCATCTTTTTACTTACTGAGCAATTATTTTACAAGCTTCAATATGTATATCAGTACAATCATTGACAAGGCATGTAGACATATGAGGCTTTGCTGTGAACTACATTGTGGGCTGATGCAATGCACCAACTCTTTAAGAATACAGATTCTAGTCAGCCACAGATCGCAGAATTTACCACTACACCTTTATCATTATCAATAAGCCCCATTCTTATCTGTAAAATTGGTTTCTTTTTAATGACAATCCATCATGTACTGTACTGTACATGACAAATGATTTCTATACTGTACAATAAACTTTGAATACAGTATGTGACATTTAATTTATTTAAACATTCTGCAAAAAAAATCGCCATATATAAAACACTGCAAGACTGTTCTAGTAATAATCATAAACAGTTTTAGCATCTCTCTTCTGTAAACATGAAACATGGATGCCAACACTTTAAACTGTTTGGTGTCATATATTTAAATATGAAACAAAAGAAATATCAGAAAATGTGAAGTGTTTTGTGGAATGATCCAGATCTTGTGCTAAGCTGGTGACTTAATACAACTAATATTACGTTCCAATGATTTCTCAGAAGTAGGTTAATCACTGTGTTTCATCGTAACCTAACAGGAAGTCGATGGAGTTGATCAGACAGTGAGATCTTAATATTTGGGATTGTATCGGTCAGCCTCTAGTCTTGTACTGGCAATGTGGCTCTTTGGATACTGTAGATATTGCAGCTCTATCAAGAGTTCTTGATCTTCTGCCATTTTAAATAAAGCTTTATGCAAGTTTCTGAGTGGTACTGTGGCCCAGCTCACAGATCGCAGTCCAGTGTGGCAGCTGTAGTCTATTTAGAGGCTTGGATCTGTAGTCTTCTACAAAGATACTGAAACCTTCGAACACAGCTCCTCCACTGTCTTCATGGAGAGTCATCCCATGGCCTCGTTATTCATCCTTCTCATCTGTTCTGCTCTCACGCATCTGTGGATTTTTCTGCGGTCAGCTGCTCGCGGTCTGACACGTCGTCATCTTTGGGTGGCCGTGCCCGATCGAAGAAGCCACACTGAAGAACCAGAGCAGGTGGGACGGCGGGTGGGAAATGGAAAAAAAAAAACAGAGGATGAGAATGTGATCCCTGGAATAACAGACATTATTCCTTTCTTCCGATGTGTTGTCTGCTAAAACACTTGCACAGATGTGCTCTTAAGGCTGAAGGACAATGACCCATTGAAGACAGTCAGAGGACAGCGATCAGTGAGATCAAGTTCATAGATCTATTTATGGATATGCTGATTAAACCGATATCATTTCCTTTAAAATTAGAAACATTTTGTTAGAAGCATTAGGTCAGTAATCATAAGAACTTGAAGACAAAGTTGACCACACATACAGTACACAGACACACACACTGCCGTTCCAAAGTTTGGGATCGGTGAGATGTCTGTTATGCCGACCAAGGCTAACAAATTAAACCCAGCACCAGTAATATTGTTAAACAATATTAAATTAAAATAACAGTTTTTTATTTACATATATTTTTGAAATATAATTTATTTCAGCGATGCAAAGCTGAATTTTTAACATCATTACTCCAGTCTTCAGTCACACCTTCAGAAATCATTGCTGATTTGATGTAATTTATGTTTTCACCAATTTCATGCATCCCGATTGCTTACTGAATAAAAATATTGATTTATTTTAATTGATGCACGCAAAATCTTTCTATTCATCAAAGAATCATGAAAAAATCAGCATATTAGAATGATTTCTGAAGGATCATGTGACACACACACACACACACACACACATATATATATAATATATATAATATTTTATGTGACTTTTATTTATAGATAAAATCACAAGTGGCTCAATGTCCAACTGCAACAGCATTCTCCCTCTCCTTTATCTGTTACTCTGATTTTAATGAAAAAATAAATAATACATATATATATATATTTTATATATAGAGTATATGTATATATTTTGATTTCAAATCTTGATATTGATCAATTTCAATAATACTTTGTCAACAACGAATTTCACCACTAGAGGGGGCAATTACATTTTATCTCAGTAGGATGCATCTCATTTTCTTCAAATCCATTAAAGTGACACTATATATAAGATGTACAATAGCATGTTAAATGGCCTCAGCTGCTCTAAAAAACCTCTTAGAATATGACTGACATTTGCTCTTGTGCACCCACACACACTCGTCACTCGTCAGCGTGTTTAATGCATATGTGTGAGTTTGTACATGTTGGCCAATTAGGGCATGTGTCCTCCTTAGGGACCCAATCAAGTGCCTGAGAACAGCCCTGTAGACAAAACACTGATAAAATCACAAATGGCTCATTAATGCCCAACTGCAACAGCATTCCCCCCTCCCTCTCCTTTATCTGTTAATCTGATTTGCCAATTTTCATCAAGCTCTTCAATGTTCCCCATACCTCTTTTCACTTCACTTCCTCCACACTCCTTCTCTCACTCTATCTCTTACCGCCATCTCTTTCTCTACCCCCTGTAGTTCCTTTGCTTTGCAATTTCACTGAAGCAGAGACGCAGTTACAGAGGGATTTTGCTGTTCATGATGACTAATACACATAAAACCGTTTGAGAGCAGTATTTCCTGTCAACCAGGATTTACAGAGAAACCAAGCTAAGTGCAGTTACATACAGTCATATGTTCTTAATTGCAATGAATTTTAATCACGGTGTACTATAGCTAGATGAAACGACAACAAAAACCTGTTTCAAACTACTATTCAAAAGATTTTTTAAAATGTTTTTCAAAGAACACACGTCTCATATTCTCACCAAGTCTGAATTTATATGATTAAAAAAAACAGCAAAAACAATAATATTGTGAGATGTTTTTATAATTTAAAAGAACTGTTTTCTATTTGAATATGTTTTTTTAAATGTAATTTAGTCCTGTGAATGTAAAGCTGAATTTTCAGCATCATTATCATTACATTACGCAGTCTTCAGCAGTGTCACATGATCCTTCCAAAATAATTATAATATGCTGATTTGGTGATCAAAAAACATTTGTTGAAAACATTTTAGTTGAAACCGTGATTCAGGAATCTTTGAAATTCAGAAGAACAGCTTCTTTCGACTATTTTTTTGAAATGTAGAAATCTTTTGTAACATTATAAATGTTTTTATTGTTACGTTTGATCAATTTAATATCCCTTCTGAATAAAATTATTAATTCTTGTGACTGATGATCACTGTATTCACAACAGCATCATGTGTAGAGCCAAAGAAGCAGAGTATAAGTCTCTCTCTCTCTCTCTCTCTCTCTCTCTCTCTCTGTGTGTGTGTGTGTGTGTGTTATGGCCAACCTACCTTCCACATTGCTAGGCTAAGCATAGCCAGCACCAGCAGTCCCAGCAGTATAGCCAAAATTATGACCCACAGGGGAATGGCAAAGGAAACGTCAGGAATGGCCCACACCACAAATGTGCCGATCTTAAAAACACAAGCGCAGGTCATTAATATTTGACTACCACTGATGTAGCTATGATTTTAGCACACATTCATCAGGTTGACAGCTTACTATCCCTTATAATCTCCCATCTCTTTCTCCCTTTTTACACTAAATGTAACAGAAGCTCCTTATAACTGTTTTGTTTATTCTTAATATTTAGTTATCTTCCTTTTTGACAGTTTTAAACAGTACAAAGAAAGAAAGTAGGGTTGTTATGATTTGATTACAGCACTCAGCTAAGAAGCACTAATGCAGTTAATACACATATAGAGCCCTACAAAAAAGTACTGTGCTTAAAGCTTACAGTAGAGTAGTAGTAGCTGTAGCCTAGTGGTTTGCACACACACTACTGTTCAAAACTTTGGGGATAGTAAGATATTTGAATGTTTTTGAAGGTCTCTCAATATTTTGTAACATTATAAATGTCTTGGCTGTCAACTGACAAAATAATTTGAATCTTGCTTGCAACATTTCCTGATTTTGTACTAAACATTTTCTATTATTTCCACTCTCTTTTAAATAGGAAAAAACATAAATGTTAAGAGACTCCCATGCTTTAAGCTACTCCATAAATGTCCTTTACTTCCTTATCAAAGCTAAACAAACTGAGCTCAGGCATTTAGCGAATCTTAACCCTTAGGTGAGAATCTTTTTCTTCCCTTGCTCTAATCCACATTTTCCTTTTCCTCTGTTGTTTTCTACTTTCTTTAATCCGCACCCACACAAACACTCTACAGTTGATTACTCACTGATTTGCTCTGGTGTGGCAGTGTATCAGCTTTGATCCGATAAGGCATGGCCGTCACTTGAAAGGACACGGTGGAGTTTAGCGTGTAGTGGTCATTCCGTCTCTGCCAGAGGAAAGCAATGGATTACTATAAATAAAACACACATGGACCCATCTCAGAGCGAGCGGGACAGAGGCTGGCCTCTCGTGGAAGAGGAAAATGTCAGATTAACATTAACACAACGCACATGGCGGGTGTCTGACAGGACGCTGAGTTGTAATAGCTTCAGCATGGATGAGGATTAACGAGAAGCAGTGGTCAAAAGAGCAGCAAAGCAAAACTTTAAGCACTTCCTTCAAACTAGGATCCCTCACACACATGCAGAGAGCACTACTGTCCTGCAGACACATCATCATACATGTGTCTGGTTTCTGTGGATGTTCCTCTGAAGAAGAGATGAAAGCATTTTGTTCTAACGATGTCAGGTTTTATGGCGTCACAGGACTTGGGTGTCTAACTAGATGATGTCATCTCCTGTGTCACCAGCCGAACATCTGAGGTTGAGTTAAACATTTGGTCGTGTTCAGAGAGGAAGGGTGGCTATGAACATAATGATTAAGGGATAGTACACCCGAAAATGAACATTCTGTCATCGTTTACTTACCCTGTATGAGTTTCTTTCTTTGGAATGAAAAGACTTTCATTGCATTAACAAACAAACAAAGCCATCTGTTGTATTTCACAGAAGAAAGTAAGTCATACAGGTTTGGAATGACATGAGGGTGAGTGAAATATATATTTAAAACACTACACTGTTCTTACACTTTACTGTCTGCACTCCCAGTGGCAGTCGCCGAACTCTACTCAACTTTGTTGCATCAGCCACTGTCGCTCATTGAAAATGAATTATTGCTGGTCAGTTTGTTGCTGCAAATCACAGTCAGTGTAAACGCAGCTTAATAGGAGCCTTTGGTCATAAAGTGATTTAAGAAGTGAAAATCACCAGCTGGACTTTACAGGAATACTGTGATGATAACATCTAAAAACACTGTGACAGTTTGTGAATGTTTAAACATTAGAGTAGATTTCATGCTGCATCCTTCACTGTGTCCTTACAGTGTCTTCATACAGAAGAAAGTCATCATTTTTTTTTAGAACAACATGAGTGTTAGTAAATGTTGAAATTTCATTTTGAGTGAACTATTTCTTTAAATATGTTAACCTAAAAGAAATGAAAGTATATGTGTGTGATAAAAGTACCTGTAAGAAGGTGTGAGCCCAGAGACGGGATCTGAACTTGATCACAGCGCTTCGCCCTCGATCCAAACGATCCACGACACACTCCACCATTAGGCAGTTGATATTAGAGCAGTTCTAGAGAAAAAGTAGAGAAGGTCTTTCACATTAATAGTCTCTTCCTGTTTGTGGACACAGTGACCCTTAAAAGTTTTAGAACATGTAAACAATTTTGAAACACTTAAGGCACATCCACACGAAGCCACAGCTTTCCCCATCCAATCTTTTTTCCCCTTGTCTAAAAAAAAATTCCGTAAAAACTACGTCGTCTCAAGAAACATCTGCGCACACACGAAACCACTGAAACCGACTCAAAACGATGTAGTATACATGCCAGACCAGTATGTGGCACTGTAATTGTGCCATGGAGATCCACTAAAAACTGGAAAAGAAGAATTGGAACATGGGCATAAACCTTGTGTGCTGTATTTAATGGGCTCTATGCACGGCAGTATTTCCAGTGAAGGTGTAAGGATGCTTGATAACTTCCGCCGATCGTAGAGTCCAATGCAATACCGAGAATTTATATTGAATTTTATACTCCATGGTTATACTAAAGGAACACAAAAACAGATAAAACAGACACCCCTTGTTGTGTTTATGCTTCTTTTTAAAATTATATTAAATAAACATCACTATATATAAAATTACATCTAAACGTATGTACATTTCGTTTCAATGACGGGAGGACAGTAAATTTTGAAGACTCTGCCATAATCCCGTTTTCCTCAGTTTTCCTCCGCTTTAATCTCCACAACCGGAAATGAACGAGCATCCTTGCGTCAAATGCGGAACTTATACGTGCATATAGCCCATATAGTGCCGAAGTTATGACGTCACTTTGAGGGCCAAAACTTGGAAGTGAGTTAGCATTTTAGCGCGTCCGGTTCCCTCGCCCTAAAGTCTATGGGTTTTTTTAATGGATTTTTGCTATATCGCCTGAAATAAGGTTTGTGGTGAACAATAATTTCACGTTTTGATCTATGACATAAAACACACCAGTTATAGCCTGCTTGTGGTTTTTTAAACTTTATATAGGCTTCAAAATGTATCAATTTTATGGATTAACTTGTAAAGATTCTCTTGATAGACAAAACGTGTAAGTATCACAACTCTTTGTTGAACACAGATCTTATTTTTTGTGATTTTCCAAAAGTCTACGGGGGAAATGCATAGCTTTTCGATCGAGGGAACCCATGTGCCGCTAACTTCCGAGTTGTCCTACAAAGTGACGCCATAACTTCGGCACTCTATAATAACAGGCTCAGAAGCATCTTTTTAAACAATCATAAATGGCCTGGTATAAAACATGAAATGTCTTAATCAGACAACAGACAAGCATCATAGCAATAGAAAATATAAATAAATAAATTAAATAAAAATAAAATTCAAGTAAATAATAAATAAAGAATTAAAAGAGGCTCAGTAAATTCTGCAGCACGAACACAAGCACGTAGTCCGCAGTTGTTGTTGCCGTTACGCGACATAGTGGTGTCTGACTAGGCCAGGGTCTGCACGTGGGGTGATGACATCATCATTTCACAAAATGTACAGATTGGCTTTACACACACGAAATGCAAGGGTGTCGTTTTAAAAAGGGTGTCGGTTTATAAAAAAACGGTTTCAGGCTCCCAAAACGCCTGAGCCGTCTGGATGAAAAGCCGATACGATACAAACATTTTACGTATAAAACTTAACGCGTTTCTGTGTGGACAAGGCCTTAGACATAAAATGAAACATTTTCTATACAACTTTTCACTCAAATTCCTCTGCTGATAATACAATTTGTAATAATAACAAAGTGTCACATGAGAAAATGTATATATATATATATGCATTTTCACCTCATTGTACCTCTGCTGATGTGTCTTTTTTAAAAGCCTCACATTTGATTTTGATTGATTTTAGTGTTCACATTTAAAGAGTTGAGTGATGGTGTGTATGTAAGTAGTATCAGTGCCAACTGTTTGTGTATGTGCATAGGACATGACCTCTGGCCTGTCTTATCACATTGCCTAAGGTGTGATGGACTACGATTATCAAAACCACCTGGTCCATGTGCACACACACACACACACACACACACACACACTAAAGAGACACTTCGAGAGAGCAAGACAATAAGCATAATATGAATGACCTGTTATGAGATTTACAGGTGAACTCACCCTTTGAGGTTAACACAGGTCTCCATAACACACGTCTAGTTCAACATAAGAATCTATCCATCACATCTATGAGAGTGTTCCCACAGGGCGTGCAGCCATATGCTTCAGGAGGTTTGTGAGAGTGTTTGTGGTTCTGGTGGGAGTGTATGTGTGTACCAGTGTCTTGCTGCTGTAGCTCTGGGCTGTCGAAACAGATCGTCTATGGCGAGTCGGACCACTGCTGTTCCTCAGAAAGCCCAGTAATTCTGGAGTGTCCTGAAGAGTGGAGGTCTAAGCATGTAAGAGAAAGATGGGAGGGGAATTGAAAAATGAATATTAGATGCAACGTGATGTGTGTAGGACGGTTACATTCATAGAGTATTATTTAGTATTAAATAATACATAGTATTACTTGTATCTTAGCATTTCTTAATATTTTGGAATCAGCTATTATTTTAATATTTTCAGTCTTCACTTAAATTTTTGTTACATTTAATTAATTTTGTTATGTGCATTATATATATATATATATATATATATATATATATATATATACACACACACACATTTTTGTTTTAGTTTTAGTCATTTTAGCACTTCAACTGAAAGTTATTTTAGTTATTTGCTAAAGCAACATTTCATATTTTCATTTAAGTTTTTTTCCGCCTAGTATTTTTGTACACATTTTTGTCATGTTATCCTTACAAACAAGACAAACATTTTCAATTTAATTTAACTTTATTTATATACCACTTTTCAAAATACATATTGTTCCAACACAGTTTTCAGCACTGAATGATTTCTGAATGCATGTTACAAGGAAGGAAAGATAAACACATGGATTATTATCTTTGCTATTATTTATATTTTGTCTTTAAATCTATTTATACAATTATTGTATACATATTTGTATATAAAGTTAGTATTTTAGGTTAAAATGTTAAAATAATAATACAAAAGATAAGTCAGTCACTTAGATTACATAATAAAGTTGTCACTGTGTGAATGTGGTCAGAGTCAGACAAAGAGTTCTGGGCCAAAACTCTGGTTAAGCATAATTCTCTCCTCTAAAGTTCACAGGAAAAGAGCTCTAATATCAGTCCAGGTGGTTAAAATTCTAAACTCAGCATGAACGCAGATCAGTTACAAGGCACAGAGACTTCATGAGGACGTTGTCGCGCTTCATGAGGACTGCAAATGAAATCTGAACAGCGATAATGAAGTCCAGTCAAGAGAGCAGAGGGGTCAGAATCAGTCCAACACTCTCTGATCAAAAACAAGCAGACCTCAGCAGTCACAGTTTTACATTTATTTGAGCTCATTAGTAAAAGCCCAGAAACCTGAGATTTATGACAGCTAGGAACACAGGCGAGAGATCTCTGTGTATCTGTGTATGAGGAAAGATTCTATCAGGGGGTGGAGTCAGAAATTGTGGATGTGGATTCTCAAGAAGCTGGCTGTCTTTGGGAAGGACACCCTCAGGGAGGAAAAGGATAGAGTGATAAGTGTGAGTTTACCTCAAGCTCCAGTGGGTTGAGGGAACCATTGACGCTGCAGTGTACAGGTCCATCAGTGATGATCTGAAGGGCATAGAGGAGGTGTTCCTCACGGTACTGACTGGGCCAGCCCACCTCCAACACCGTCCTGCTTATTGAACTTGGACCCTTATTGTGTAACTGGGAAAAAAGAAGAGGGAAACAAAAAGAGATTAGCAACAAACGTAAAAATATACATTTAAATCTATTCAAAAATATTAAAGAAGTGCCCCTATAAACATTTATGAAGATACATCAGTAAGAAAATTATGGCTGATAGCCTACCAATATATATTTCCAATTTTTTTTAATATTATAGCCAATAACCTATAATTACACATACTATAGTGTAAATTAATTCAAAATGAAACTCACTTCACGTGATTTTAGGAATCACAACATTATAATGTACAGTATGAAAAGTGGAATCTAAATATTACATTTAACAGTGTTATTAATTTACAAGTGTTTTTAAATAACTTTAAGAGGGTGGTGGAATGATAAAATAGAGGAAATGAGCATGAACATTAAATGTCCAATATCCTAAATACATTTAGAGTTAAAAAAAAATAAGTACACTATGAATCTACAATATTTCTTCCAAAATATTACTTCCAAAATTGTATTAAAGTGAAAAACTATGGTAAATTTCAATAAGGGGTGCTGTTGATGCCCAATACATTTAATATGAATCATCAGATTTTTATTTAATATGGAACAATGTACAAGAATTGTTAAACATTGGGCTAGCATTAGCATTAGCATTAGCGGTTGAACTAAACATGGCAGAGCTGAAGCTGCTAACACAAACCATCTGTACAGCGTCTGGCCAACATTACAGGCAATTAAAAAATTAATAGCTGCAGGACAGATGGCGTTTAGTGAGGCCCTCTCACAGCAAAAAGAGGTCAGGAGTCTCCACAAAAACAAACAACAAATAAATAGCTTTAAATAAGCTGTTTTTTGCTAGCTGAATGAACCATGCTATGCTCCATGGGGAAAGTTTATTGTGATTTATTTCTTATAATAGATTAGTTTTTAGTTTTATTGTCAGAGAGAGTTAAAGCTGTAACATTGAGTCATAGTATGTATAAATATGGATTAAATTCCCTCACACTCTGTGTTAAAGATAAGCTCTGCTGTACAACAGCTGTGATTTGTTGTGGCATGCTTGTATGTCTACTTTCTACATACTGTATGCGTGTGTGTATGTGTGTATCCCTTTGATCACAACAAAGTTTTGAATGTTTGCTGTTTGCTGGCTAATCAATAACACATTAATCCTGATACTTGTATAATCTATCTTTTCTTCTATTGCTGATTGAGGCTCTCCATGTTTACCCCGTATGTTTATTCTGTACCTCATATATGTGTTGAACCTGAGGTCCGACGTCATCTTCTCTCACAGGTTTCTCTTTGGGTTCCCATCGAGGGAAAGGCAAAACAACCTGAGCTGGGTGAGACACACTGAGGAAAACGAAGAGAATATTTTCAAGCAGGTTGTATAAAATGCAAAAAATGTATTATCTAACAGTCTAAATAAATATTTTCCAATAAACACCATTTTAATTTTGCAATATGGCAGATATAAGTTAAACAGGATATTGAACAAGAAAACAACATTTAACTGAAGGAAAGTAAGAGATTTATTAGCTAATACATCATAGAAACAGATGTTAGTCTTATTTTCTATCATATTCTATCCTTATTTATCCTTCATTTTGACCTTATGGCCAGACAATATTTTAAATGAACAGAAGTGTTTAATCAATGGGCTTGGTGAATAACCTCTCCAGATCGCTCTGAACAGGCAATTGGATTTTTTTTTTTTTCTAGGTTGTTTAAACTCAATTTTGGGTCAAATATGGACAAACCCAACCATTGGTTTACATTCTAAAATAAATTATAAACCCAATGGTTGGGTTTGTCCATATTTGACCCAAACATGGGTTGAAACAACCCAGCATTTTATTCCAGTGCGCTCATTTTCTTCTCAGTGAGACAGAAAGAGACAAAAAAAAAGAGATACTCACCCTCTGATCTCCACCTGTGCTCTCGCCACAATGCTCAGAGTCAAATTCACTGGGACGCTTCTTGCGTTGTCCTTATTAGAGCTGTTCAGAGAAACAAACAAACGTAATGTTAATTTGAAACAATAATCTTTACGCTACATTATCAAGGTAACATTTTGATATAAAGTCCCAACAACACAGAGTTATGTTAAGTGCACTGTGAGACAGTAAGGCTCTTCTGTAGAAGGTCTCGGTGAACTGGCCACAGTGTCTGAGACTACTGAACAGTTCCATGTGTGAGCCTGAGGCAGGGAACATCTGTGTTCTGTAAATGTATCTGTCCTTCGAGGGTGCGAGGACGAGGACAAAAAGGGAACAATACTGTTTGTGTCTCTGTCCTAGAGTTCCCCGAGTCAACTGTCTCGTCGGCCATTCTGCTGTGAAAACCACCAGCCCCACACATACACACAGACAGTACACTAGACGACACTCTGTCTCATTTCATATATCACAACAATGAAGGCAAATGTTATTCAAAAGGAATTTCACCTGGAAGAGAAGCTAAGTCGTCAAAGGAGAGGATGTAAGCAAAGAAGTCCGACAGTTGTAACTTTGATCTTGTGGAATAATTTGGTCACAAAAACTATATATTTACTTTACTATATGCCATATAAAACTCACTGTGCAACTGAAAGGAACAAGTAGACGGAAGAGTCTTTGAAGCCTTGTAAGATTCAGGTCTTATTAAATACTAAATCACGAGTCAAGAAATGTGATACCTTCATTCCAGCACCTACATTTCCATCCGGAGAGAATCAGAATCTAACCAACATTAAATAAAAAGTTGAAAAAGAATAATACAGTATATTAAAAGTTTGGCCTCAGAAATGTACTTTCATTTAGCAAGGATGCATTAAAATGTTCTAAAGTTATAAAAAATTATGTGTATTAGTAAAAACATTTATTATGTTAGAAAAGTATTTTAGTAAAAATGTATCACGGTTTCCACAGAAATATTTAGCAGCTGTTTCCAACATTGATAATAATAAGAAATGTTTAATGCAATATGCTGATTTGATTAATATGTATCAAATCAGCATATTAGACTGATTTCTAAAGGATCATGTGAAACTGAAGACTGAAAATTCAGTTTTACCATAAATATAGCCCAAAAAATATCCAGGAATATATTTTACTTTATAAAACGTTTGAATAGCTGTGTAATTTCAACTTTGTATAATCAATAATTGCATAATTTGAATTACTTTTAAAAGTAAAGAAACCAACCAACCAACCAACCATCAAATTTAAAAGACTTGAAAGACAAAACATATTTTTTGTTGTTGCTGCATGACACCTGGCTTCTATCCCTCTGTATCTGTAGTTTTCTCTCCCTCTTCTCTGTCTTTCACTCTTGTTCTGTCTCAAGGTGAAAAATCAGAGTGGGCAGAGGAACATGTGGCTAACATTAGTCACCAGAAAATTTCTCTATTCTCTAGAGACACACATACCAAAACAGATAAGACAAACACCACAAATGCATTCATACAGCACACACACACACACTTAAGTGCAAACATATTACATGTGCGCACTCACATGTGCAGGCGAAAACACATACGCATACATAGACTCACCCTCCTGTTTGACCTAACCTTGCTCTGAGACTTTAGGATTCAGTGATTAAATCCTTAGGGAAATATCCCCTTCACTGAGAGCAGCCTGGCAGTCATCTCAACACCCCAAAACTAACATGCGCTTATAAAAACCTCCCTGTGCATCTGTGTAAGTAACATCAAAATGAAGAGTGTTGTTATAACAAATACACTTCACCCCTGTGCCTAACAGAACATGGCCAAGGACATGCAAACCAAGTGGGGAGGAAACAGTGTGATTGTAATTGCTTTGCTACATAAAGGAAAAAAAAATTATAGAAAAAAAAATCTATTGAAAAATCATATTAATAAATATAATACATACATTTACATGCATTATATAATATATGAATTAAAATAATATATGATTACTTAGTATGGCTGTTAACCATTGAATGATTTAACCATTATGACCCATCCCTAACAATGACAAAACAGAGGACCAAAAAAGCTTTTTTCTCAGTATATAAATACAAAATTGCTATTTTTCCCCCACACATAAGCAAACAGAGTCTCTAAAAGTATGCCATCCATTTTCTGTGACCCATCCAAGGACATCTTATCAACACGCAGCTTCCTGTTCTAAAGTCTGGCTCTATTACGACCAACATTTGGGGCCCTTGCTTACAAAATGACTCCCAAAACATACATCAAAGTGACACGCACCACTTACTTTGTTCACACACACACACACACACACACAGTGCAAGAGACCTTTACATGAAATTATAAATCAGGTACCACATGTTGGGTTTTATGAGGACTCTCCATAGACAGAATATTTAGTTTGTACAGTATAAAAATTGTACAGTAAAAAAAAACATAAACAGTAACAGTAAAGACTTTGCACTTTTACATTTTCAAAACAACAACATACAACAATACCTGGACCATAAATTTTAGCCAGACACAGTTTCTTAGACACAATTACTCACTTTATAATTTTATGACCAGAGGGAACACAAGGACTTGGGTGTTGAAGTCAGAAATGTGAATGATGGTCTCTCTCTCTGTGTGTGTGCGTGTGTGTACGTGTGTGTGTGTGTGTGTGTGTGAGAGAGAGAGAGAGTCAAAAATGTGAGTATACATTATGCTTGAATTGGGATATGGTCGAAATTAAAGATGATAGTTACCTGTGTATCTGCAGCTCAAAGCCAATGGTAGGAGGGGCATCTTCCAGCCGCTGTACAGAAAACCGTAAACCCACCAAAAACTAGAGCCAGAGAGAGAGAGAGAGAAGAAAGGGGAAAACATGAAGACATCAAAAGCTTAAGGGACATCTGTAAGTGCTCAGTAAAACAGAATAGAGCTCTCCCCCCCACTGGCTCATACAGGAAAAAGCCACCACAATTAACACTGTGCCGACTTACATGCTGGGGGGAGAAGTGTGGGCTCAGTCTGGACAGTCTCACTGCTCTTATACCCCCAATAAACAGCATGAAAATTATTCAACTACAACTATTCAAGTGTAACTCATTCAATCATGATACACTGCTTTGAGTCTAAATTATAGCTATTAATATTATCTTCATATTATCTTTAAGCTTTTATTATTAAGATGCAACCTCTTTCTTTTGCAAACTCTCAAACATGACATGGCATTCAACTGAAATGCAAGGCGCTAGTTTGTATGAAAGCGTGATATGTCTATTATCGGTCAATTTTCCAGTCAATCGGTCAATGTCTATTATCGGTCAATTTTTATTTGTACGTGATATGTCTATTCTGGATCATTGTGCAGCAAAATCTCACAAATCTTTATTAAATCTTTAAATCCTTCAAATCTTTATATATCTTTATTACTAAAATGTTACATTTATTATTATATGTATTAGGAAATCATTATTATGCAGCCAAAGATAAATTATGAGAAACATAAATGAGTAGTTCACTCATTAAAATATTAGTATATTTTATATACTACCATATAAGTATTAGTATATTAAATATACTTATATAGTATAAGTATATTTTTAATAAATATTAAAATATATATTAATATTTGCTGTAAAAGTAGCTCATTATTCTTTTGCATTCAGTATATTAGATATTATTAACCTTTTGAAATCTTGAGAAGTGTTTACCATATTTATCATAGTTATATGATTGCAATTTGTCCTTATGTACAGTCAAATGTCTGTCAGCTCTTAGAAAACAAGTCTTTACGAAGCCATTTTCAGTGATTAATACATTTTTTTGGGTTTTCTGCTCGGCTGAACAAAGTCTAAACACTGGAATTTTCATTCGCAAACAAACAGTAAAATTTGACCAATCATCTTTCTCTTTCTGGCTGTAACTGTGTCCATATGGTGCAGTTCATTAGGAGGAGTCTGATAATGGCTGCTGGGATGGTTAATGAAGGCCAGTCCATTAGCTAAAGGCTATGTGCTAACTCTGGAGCCCCATAAATGAGCGTCCCCAGGCGGAAACCTTCCTCACTACAAAGCCCCCTCATAACAGATGGGTGAGAGTAACAAGTGCTGTTAAACTTAAAAGAGGGAACTAGCCATGCTCTTTTTGTGGTCTTGCATCCTTTTTTAAAACCCACAGAGTCTGTAAATCACAAATGAAGATCACGTCTCCGCAACTTCATACATGTGTTGAGAAATAAGACTTCATCTGAGATCGGAGTTTACAAGATGCTGGTTCATATGTTTCTGTGGCAACAGTAATCATCTAATTACACTAATGAGACAATAACTCTTAATCGAAAGTTTTAATGAAACTCAGAACAGAACACAGTGTAACATGGGAAAAATTTGCGAGTTCTTCAAGTGCGTTTGATTAAGTGCATCTCCCAATATAGGAATGAAATGTAAGATGCAGTTTTCATTTGAAACAGCACAAACACACATCAAAAGCACTGTGTTTGAATACATGTGTGCAATGCGATTTATTTAGATGGATTACAGATTGGCTAAGCAAAACTGGACAGAGTGCATTCAGAAAGCATAAAGATGGCTAGATTGTGCATGATTAAAAACAAAGAAAAACGTAAGCCAAAGATGAGGCTGTCAGTCTGTTATTTACAGTGTCATCATCAGAAGCAAATCACTAGGAAGATCCCAGCCCACTCTGTTAAGAAATAATACATCGCTTCATGTTGCTGGGAAAATACGAGGTGCTGTGTTGCCAAATTCTTTGAATATATATATCACCCTAATGTGACATTAGCTAAAATGGATAGGAGTCAGTGAAACAATGAACTCATTCAATGTGTTTTGTTTTACAAACCATTACAAACCATGAAACTCCTCTCTCCATTGAATATCACAGTGAGAGCAATAGATGGGACGGGTCATGACGGATTTGTATGAATTATGGCTCACAAAAGACATTTACAATGTTATTTTAAAACTACTGGGAAATTGAATGCATTATCATAAAAAGGAGATTCACATTAGCCAGACTGAGAGAATACAGGATACATGAAATCCCAATATGATAAACAACAACTGCAGTTTTGGTTTATTAAAAGTTAAGAGCCAAAAGAGCCAAGGCGCTCCAAACAGTAGCTCTTCTGGCAATGTCCTGTCTTTACTCAACTGTCCTAACTAATAAAGGCAGAAAATGCCCAGAAATATTACTATGAGTCTATATTATGTGCTAGTTAGTATAATTAAATTCATTGATTCATAAATTAATTGACTAACCTACAGAATCCTGGGACTGACAGTGGAGGATGTAGGAATGAAGATATCACATGCAATATAATCACAAGTTACTTTGAGCACAAAGTAGACGCTTCATATACAACTGTTCAAAAGTTTGGGGATGGTAAGATTAATGTTTATAAAAAAGGCTGCAATCATTTGATCAAAAACATTTGATCAAGTCATTTGATCAAGTTTTCTGTTTCAATATATTGTAAATAAAGTAGAGTATTAATTTCTTTCAAAAACTGCTTTTTTTTATACATTTTTAACAGTAACATCAATGATTGTTGTAGCCCTCAAACCGTATTAACAATATAGCCCTTAATCCTGTAATTGTGGACAAATGTGGGCAGAGGACTCAGGTGTGATCCTAATTTTTATTTATTAAAAATAAATATTTTATTTAAATATTTAAATAAATATTATTTTGGGTGTATTTTTTTAAATTGATTTACTTCAAAAAGTACCATATTTTCTATGCAAATTATGCTTATTTTTATGTTTTATTTTTTACACATTTTTTTATCTACTTTAAAATATCATTCCAATAAGTTCTTAGAGTTAAAAACTAAAGATGAAGTGACTTTGCTGTCACCTGGTGTTTTATTTTGGCTTATTTTAGAATGCTCTAAATTACAGTTTTCCCTATTCATTTCTATGGGTGCCCCTTTTTGACCAAAATACAAGATTAAGGAGTTTTCTTTCACCCACTTAACATTGTAGAATTGAGTCAAAAAAAATTGTGTGTGTTCAGGAGGCAAACTTAGGAAAAATAGCCAAGTCTTGTACCGCTCAGATCAAGGGAAGTATTTTAAAAAATAAATCAAAACTATTTTGCCCACGGTTTTAGGGTTAAGTTTGACTCGGATATTAGCAACTGATGTTGTGATGAGACAACCAATGTGTATGTGGCAAAGGCCCATCCATCAGAAGTCCCCACCACTTTAAAAAACAAAGTGATGCATTGGTGGCTCAACAATTGTGCAGGAGAACCTCAGTTGACTGTGCAAGAAGTATTTGTACAGTTTAATTCTGAAAATACAACACTACTTGAAGTTTTGCTTCAGTCAACATGGTCAATACAAAACTCTGTTCCTCATATACTTTAGGAACTGTTTGTGGCGCTCGAACCGTTTGAGGTGATGTGACGAACATGTTTTCTGCACATTGGTCTTGTGATGGCTTATTTGTGTTGAATGAGCTGCACCACATGGTTATGACTTTTATGGGCTATGAGAGGATAGCTTGGAAAGTTTTGAGAAAGAGAAAAATGACACGTATTGAATTAGATCAGGCCTCACACTGATTCCATGTGTGGTACGATTGTTTAGTGACGCCAGTGACGGTTCTCTCAGTTTGCTTGTTGTATGTGTGTGAGATGGGGGATATGTGGCCGCGTCACCCTCATCTGCTGGTGCCAGGATAATTTGGCCCATGTGGGTTTATCCCCGGAGGCTCTATGACAAAACCCGTCACCATGACAACTCCCTTCCTTCCAAATCTGGAACATGTTAACAGGTCACAGAGGCAAACAACCCTCTCTTCATTTGTGTTCCACAGAAGAAAGTCACACAGGTTTGGAATGACATGAGGGTATGAAATGATGGCATTTTATTTTTATTTTTATGAGATCCCTTTAATGATCGTTTCCACACTAGCTTTTCTGCCCCACATGATTCAGACAAAGCAAATGCTAACGCTAACCATGCTAATCAGAGTTTCCACGCTAAGCACAGCAACAAATGACATGGAAAAACTTAAACTAAACTGACTATTAGAAATAACTGAAATGTATGTTGAAGTACTAAAATGACTAAAACTGAAATAAAATAAATTAGAATAAATATATTAATATTAAAAATATATAAATATATTAAAAAAAACCAAACATAATAAAGAAAACTAATGAAAATGACTAAATTAATAAAAAAACATAATAAATAATACTGAAATAACACTGGAAAATACAAGGAACAGTATGCGCTCTTCATCTGTATATCAGGAAACCTATAATTTTGCTATGATAGAAGTCTTTTAACACCACAAAAATAAAAGGCTATTTCTCTGTGAGGCATTTACTTCGTCTCACAATTATTTAGCTCCCTTTACATTCTACATGCTGCCAAAGAATTCCTCAACAAGCTCTCCCACAATCCGCCAACATGACAGGCTAGTTTGACATAATAACACAGACCTCTAAGTATCTCTCAACTGCTAACACACACCGACCAATACCATTTTAAAACCGCAAGTCCATCTGCAGGTAATATACTGCCTATTCGGTTGAGATGCTCTGATTTATAGTTTATAAGCAAAATAATCTTTTGACCTGCAGTAGTAAACACAGTCATAAACCTCTCTGCCCGCTCTCAGTGAGCTGGCACTGTTCAAGCCCAAGCATTTGCCCAAGTTGCTTCAAATTACTGACAAATTACATTTAAATTTGCTTTGGCTTTAACAAGCACTGCAATCCAAACAAACAGAAAAGGAGGGAAGTAAACGGGCTAATAAAGATGCAGGTGTGTGTGTGTGTATGTGTGTGTGCGTGAAATACACACTGTAAAAATGAATTCTCAGAAAAATAAGAAAGAAATGATGTAAATACAGTAAATAATATGTATGTATATACTAATGAAAATGGGTATAAACCATGTCATTTACTTAGATTATATTCCATTCATTATAATTAACCACACAAAAATCTATATTTAATGCAAAAGTGGACATATTGAATCCAATTAGCAATGTTCAAGATGAAATGAACGCTGCAAATAGATTCACAAAGACAGTGAGTCCGTTAAAAACCCTCTCTGCAAAGCTGACTATTGTTACTGCAGCTCAAATTCACTATTTCACAGAATTTTTATACAACATTTTTTGTAGTTGGACAGACCTCAGTTTTTCTTTATATGTTCCAAAATAATTTATCTCGAAATCTATCTTAGATCCCAAATATCTACAGCTGAAATAACCTTAACAGCTGCATACATCTATTTGGGATAGTGATACAATACACTCAGGTCATCTTAAGTAACTTGATTTTTTTTGTATTTCAATAAAAGGGTAATGCTAATAGGGATGATGCAGAAATGAATCGGACTTGAACCTAATGATCAGTTCACCCTGAGGGCTTTGAGGAAATGGGAACCTGATGGAGTGACCAAGAGAGATGGTGAAGTAGAGGACTTATAAGTGTTATTAAAATCACCTTATAGTTCACAAATTACAGCCATTACAACAAATATCAATAGTAAAAAACATAACACCACCAATGAAAATGTAGTCCAAAATATACAAATTGATGTAAAGGCTATCTAGACATACTCATGAACACGTTTGTGTGTGTTTGTTTCTGTGTATATACCTGCAAATGAGATGCAGGCAGGATGTTGTGTTAGGAGTGCGTGTATGAGTGTGTTGTGACGGGTCAAGAATGTGTTTTGTAACCGTTGTAATTGCACCCCAGGCTTAGATATTTGGGATGGCTGGAGACAGATTGTCATGGTGAATGGTAAATAGATGGAGAGAGTGTTTAGACTGAACCTCAAACTTTGTCCGATTGTGTTTAAACCTCCCTTCACATGCTCACTCCATCATTCCACTTTTTCTCTTGACCCACTGTTTTGTTTTCCAGACTCTCGTTAAATGTGTTCAAAGAGGTAGGAAGGAAAGAGAAAGGAGAGAGGAATATTACAATATAAAAATATTACACAATGCTCAAATCAAGCTTGTGACTGTGCAAGAAAAGTTCTACGTAACATATGTGCATTTTCTCTTTAATGAACATACATGTTGATTTCAGCAGGGAGATGTATCGTGGGGCCAGTAGTCGAAGCAGTCTTAAAATGTTCACACATTACTCATCTAAAGGATTGTTAGGAACACCATACTAATACTGTGTTTGACCCCCTTTCGCCTTTCACCTACGTGGCATTGATTCAACAAGGTGCTGAAAGCATTCTTTAGAAATGTTGGCCCATATTGATAGGATAGCATCTTGCAGTTGATGGAGGCTTGTGGGATGCACATCCAGGACATGAAGCTCCCGTTCCATCACATCCCAAAGATGCTCTATTGGGTTGAGATCTGGTGACTGTGGGGGCCGTCTTAGTACAGTGAACTCATTGTCATGTTCAAGAAACCAATTTGAAATGATTCGAGCTTTGTGACATGGTGCATTATCCTGCTGGAAGCAGCCATCAGAGGATTGGTACATGGTGGCCATAAAGGGATGGACATGGTCAGAAACAATGCTCAGGTAGGCCTAGGTATTTAAACGATGCCCAATTGGCACTAAGGTGCCTATGCCAAGAAAACTTCCTCCACACCATTACACCACCACCAGCCTGCACAGTGGTAACAAGGCATGATGGATCCATGTTCTCATTCTGTTTACGCCAAATTCTGACTCTACCATCTGAATGTCTCAACAGAAATCAAGACTCATCAGACCAGACAACATTTTTCCAGTCTTCAACTGTCCAATTTTGGTGAGCTCAGTAAATTGTAGCCTCTTTTTCCTATTTGTAGTGGAGATGAGTGGTACCCGGTGGGGTCTTCTGCTGTTGTAGCCCATCCACCTCAAGATTGTGCATGTTGTGGCTTCACAAATGCTTTGCTGCATACCTTGGTTGTAATGAGTGGTGATTTTAGTCAAAGTTGCTCTTCTTCTTCAGCTTAAATCAGTCGGCCCATTCTCTTCTGACGTCTAGCATCAAAAAGGCTTTTTCAACTTTTTACACCATTCTTTGTAAACCCTAGAAATGGTTGCTTGTGTGTGAAAATCCCAGTAACTGAGCAGATTGTGAAATACTCAGACCGGCCCATCTGGCACCAACAACCATGCCACGCTCAAAAATGCTTAAATCACCTTTCTTTCCCATTCTGACATTCAGTTTGGAGTTCAGGAGATTGTCTTGACCAGGACCACACCCCTAAATGCATTGAAGCAACTGCCATGTGATTCGTTGATTAGATAATTTCATAAATGAGAAATTGAACAGGTGTTCCTAATAATCCTTTAGGTGAGTGTATTTATGTGTGTGTGTGTGTGTATGTGTGTGCTGCATCAGCAGGTGTCTCATACAGGACCTGAAGTCTAAGTAAGCTGACAGCGCTGCTAAATATCTGGTTATTAAAGGGCAAACTGATATGCTGTCTAACCCTTTTCTCACCCCTCTAAAATCCTCCTCCCTCTGCCCTGCTCATTTATGTTAATGCACTGAGGGATTCAAGCTCTCACTGTAAGCAAGTACGTGAGAACAAAAAAATCTACATAAGCAAATGAACACAAACCCAATTTTATGTGTTGAAAAATGCATCAAAATGCCACTTATAATGCAATGCAAGTACATACTGTACTCTCTGCGTTTCCACAATTTTTTTCTACAGTTGGGTTTCTCTTTTAGGTAAACTTCTGTCAAATCAAACTGTACATATTACATCGTATCAATCGAGTTTATGTGACAAGACTCTTACGTTTGTGTCAGCCACCATTGGATTCCCGAGGTCACACACCACAACTCTGGTCTCATTCTCTGTCCTGTGCTCGCAGTTCAGCCGCTGAAGATCCTGAGAGAGAAAGAAACATTTCAGGTCTTCATTGTTTAATCTATAATAGCTGCTGTGTTTAACTAAATGCTGAATAACAAACAGAAGCATTATGCTCTTTCAAAGGGACACATGCCCCCTCAGAACCCCTATTTTAAACATAAAAAATGTAAAACATTTAAACACCCTTAAAAATGATTTGTTCTACCCACATCCAAATCATAAACTCTACCAATAGACTAACACATCTTACACTTATAAACACTGTATGCTACATCTAAACTGTTCAAATAAAAATATTGAAAAAGTAATTAAAATAATAGAAGTTAAATAAAATTTATAAAATGAAATAAAAGAGGTGCATGACATCATTGAAAACAAAACCAGGCAATAATAAACTCGGTCAATATCTAGCATAATCCAGTGAAAACAAATCTCAGGAGGGTCAAGGGAGGGACTGAGGAAAGAAAACGAGGGAGAGAAAGTACATGATGAATTCCCTGATAGCAATCACATCATACATCACTGAGGCCCTACCCCTGTCATCTCTTCAACCCCCTACATCAGTCTCCCTTTTCCTCCATCTCCCTCTGGTAACCACTTCCTCTCACCAAAACAGAGTCAAACCGTAACCAGTCGGTTCCCAGAAGAGCGACTAATGGAGTCGTGCAAATTGCATTAAGAGCCACTCTCAAACAAGCGCTGCAATTACCAGTTATACACTGCATCTGTTAAACTCATAACTGACAGACAGAGAGCAATCATATCTTCTGCGGCTAGTGCCACAGAGCGCCACTGTCTCATGCTGGAAGAAGCAGACGCATGAACGGGATGATGGAATGACTGAATGACAGCAGAATATATGAATGAAGATAGGCAGGGCTGTATTAAATGAAATAAACAGTGTGTTAGATCCCGGCAAATGCATTACAGAGCAAATCTAGGCATGAGGCACTATGTTTAATAAGAAACCTTACCATAATTAGATCAACATTCACTGCATTCCTGCCTCATTACTACATCAAAGACATTGCAGCACTCATGTTTGTGTTTTTAACTCTGTGTCAGAATGGATTACAGATTTAGAATTTCACCATGATGGATTTAAAGCCATTTAGTAAATCTGATATTTCACAAGACCCAAGTTCACGTTAGACTATGTCATAACCAGGTGTGATGTGCTAAAAAATGAAGAAATACAAGCTATCCATGTAAATGTAAAGGCTTTTGTCTTAAAGGGATATACAGTATCACCCAAAAAATTGTCATCATTTACTCACCATTAAGTTGTTCCAAACCTATATGAATTGCTTTCTTCTGCTAAACAGAGAAGATATTTTGAAGAGTGTGGGTAGCCAAACAGTGAAGCCACGGACGTCCATAGTATAGGGATTTTAGGGATGTCCCAGTCAAGTTTTTTTGTGCCCTAAATTCCAATATTAAGTATATTAAGAAAATTAAGTATCTGCCAATACCGGGTTCCATTCCGATATTTGTATTTTCCAAGTGCTTGGTTCACACTTCAAGTACATTAAAGGTGCAATGTGTAAAAAATTTGAGTATCTATTAACAGAAATGCAATATGACATCCAACTATGTTTTCTGTGGTGCATAAAGAACTTCCTTAATAAAACCGTAATGTTTTCATAACCTTAGAATGAAACATTTATATCTACAAAACTGTGGGCACCCCCTTCTATGAAGGTCGTGACGTCATGTTTCTACCGTAGCCGACAGCGAACAAACAGCGCTACATAGTGCGTTTCGTCACTACCTTGAAAGAGAAGCCGCAGAAAGCTAAAAGCTAGCCATAAAGAGAACGATAGAACAAAAAAAATACATAACGACAGATAGGATGAAAGATAGACAAATGGCAGAACGACAGACAGACAGATACAGTAGATAGACAAATAGACAGTTAGATAGATTAAAGACATCATACAAAAGATTTTCACAAATTAAAGTATTCATTATCTTCTACATCCAATAGCCTATCCAAGACCCACATAAACACAAACACGGCGATATCTCGTAGGAATATAATGTTGCTTACCTCACGCCTGCGCTCCACACCAATATAGTCTGCTTCTGGTGGGATGGTCACATGAAGCTCCGCCTCGTACGCCCCTTCGCCCTTATTGGCGGCGTTGATGGTTAACAAAAGCAAGTTGTCATCCCCAATTATAAGTTCTGTTCGGTCCCTGTAAAAATAAGAAAAGAAAAAAGAAATCTGCATTTAAGATCACTTAAATGTTAATATATGTCTGTTAAATGTTACACTTGATCAATGTTAGACATATATATATATATATATATATATATATATATATATAGTTTCCTCTGAGATAGTCCCAAAATGTGCTTAAAGTCAAAGAGTCAAATTCAGTTTGTGCATGATTGCATGAATATCATTTTTTTATACTGTATCCTAAAGTGTGGATAATTAAGCTATATATCACATGCTGAAGTACATTTCTGGAATGTTAAATATTAAAAGAAAAAAATAACAAGAACCGTACAGAACCGAAAACCGTGACCCTAAAACCGTGCCACCCCTAATATATATATGTATATAATAGACATAAACAGAGGATACATAATACAACACAGCACATAAATTATAACAAATATACAAACAGTTATTCAATGGGACACACATGTACGGATCAGACCCACGGACTCACATTTTAGCAGAAAGTTTGAGATCTGGGATACACATGTTGTCTTCCCCACAGTCCAACAGGATGTTTGCCTAAAGGAAACGAGAGAGAAAATATCTTCTCTTTCCGTCTTTGGGTTTGTTTGTTTACTGAATTGAACTTATGTCTTATTTTTTTTTATCTAATTAAGTCTTTTATCTAATTAAGTCTTTGTTTAAATCAGCCAACAAGATGTTGTCTTGTTTTGAACCCTCTATTAAACCCTGCATGTCATGGCATCATAATTTAACTTAATATGATGCACACATCTCCAACTAAACACTTATGTTGAATGCAAACCTGCTCATGGTGGAAGGTCTTGCTATAGTGATCTAAAATGGGTCGCAGCTGTAGACCAGGTGGAGGGGAATTCTGGTCCAGACTGTAGTTCAGTGCCACGCTGATAGGGCTCAGTTTATCCCTAAACTCTCCCTCATCCTACACACAAACAGATAAGGATCAGACAAAAAAGAGAGAGGTGGATTGCAAACAGAACTGACAAGTCTCACTTCTTTGTCCTTTGACATCGATCTGTTTGACTGAATCACGGCTGTTGTATGAGCATGCTTGCCTCAGAGATCCAAGGCCAATAAATACAGTTATTTAATAAGTTATGAGGATTTGAGAAAACTAGGAATCATGTTTATGTTTACGCAGTGGTTTGTGAAGAAAAAGCAAAAGCAGCTAGGCTGTGAGGAAAGTATGTGAGCCTGCTGCATCAAAACACAAATTATTTACACAAATCCAAACTAACTGTTACAGACATAAATATGCTGCTCAAACTAAATTTGTAATAAAAAAACATGACCTTGATAATAAAGTGTATTGCAAAAACTAATAGAATATAAACATAATAAATAAATATAATGTAATATATACAGTATATATATATATATATATATATATAATCATTTATCAGTTTATATACACATACAGTATATATAATTAAATCCTTTTTATTTAATAATAATCATTAATCAGTGCATTGTTTAATGTATAATAATAATACATTTTTTTTTTTACAGAATCTAATTTATATTCATAAGTTGTTGAATGTTTGTGCTTTATATTTGCCATGTATCTCAGTGATAGGTCAACGTTGCCTGATATTTTATCATAGTTCAAATTGAGCTGGCTAATAAAAGTTTTTCCCATGGCCCGAGTTGTCCCATAAACACCCAGAAACACTTAAGATTGCATTCAATTATTGTGTCACCTCAGCCCAACAGATTTTTGGTCTTATTTTTGCGACACACTCTTATGGAAGGGTTCTCACGTCGTTTATTCCGTCCAGATGAGCAGTGTTGCACTAGAAGCTTGGTTTGGCTCACAATTAACTTTCCCATGGGTTCATTTGTAGTGAAGATAAAACAAGAATTTTTCAAGAGGAATGAGGCCAGTTCAGCAATGCTCTGTGATGCATGTGGCCTATAAGGCTTACCCGCAGGTAAACAGAGTAGTTGTGGCAATGTTGGCGGTCCCCTTGACCCAGAACCAACTGCTGGGTTCTCTGGTGCTGGTGAGAATCCATGAACAAGATTCGCTTAACTGCTCCACGCTGCTTCAGCCAATCCAACTGCAGGTTCATTGTCAGAGCTGAAAGAGAGAGAGAGAGAAAGACAAGTATGCTATTGTTCGTTCCACATTTAGAGTCTAATTCAGACAATTTCTGCTCGGACCAAACAGGTTTTGGACCATAAAAATTGCATGTTCTTAAGGTTAATGACTAGGGCTTCTGAACAACAATCAAATAGTGCTTCCAACAAACGTGCACCTCACACACACCAGCCTGTGTTACTCTCACAGGCACAGGAACGCACACAGCCACACCTGTTCTTTGTCATCTCCAAAACCATATGCACTGAGTTTTAACAGGCCTGTGTTCAGAAGTGCTGAGAAAGTGGCTTTTATTGCCTGTTGATTTAACTGAGTTTGGCACCTTCTCCATTTTGGCCATTACTGAGTGCACTTATGTACAGATGTTCAACAAGAGCAGAGACATAAACTCACACTAAGCACAACACATATAAGTGAAAACAATAAAATATAAAATGTCTCCATCTTAGCAAGTGTCAAGAGAAAATATGTACTGCATGACAAAATAATTTGTTTTGCCTTTGCAACATAAGAATTTTGGAAGTCTAATTCATGTTCTCCATTCATTTTCTCCATAGAGAAAAAGACTTAGCCATAAATTTGACTATTAACAATTTTCTAAATATACTATAAGCTCTAAATGAAGAGGTCATAAAAAAAAAGTGTTTTTTTTTAAATATGTTCCTTAAGGTTCACTAGTAATGTTAAGTTTTGTGCACACACACTATATATATATATATATATATATATATATATCTATATATATATATATATATATGAAGAGTTCAGATGCAAAAGCCTCTAAATGCCATTTGAAATTTTCTGCTTTAATTATGATTTTTATCAAACTTGTATATTTAAGTTCAGTAATTTCACTTAAATAACAATTAATAGGTAATTATTATTGCCATTTAAGTGAAATTACTGAACTTAAATATACAAGTTTGATAAAAATCATCACTAAAGAAGAAAATTTCAAATGACATTTAGAGGCTTTTGCATCTGAACTTTTCATATATATATATATATATATATATATGGTATGCAAAAAATGTTCACCTTAATTCTGATCCTCTGTCTAAAATGAGGTAAATTTTAAGGTGCGGTTCCTTTAAGGCTCGTCAGTATATGGCCACTGTTATGATTGGCTAACGGCAATGCATAGGAAACAGTATCAACGCCTCAAGCTCGTAGAGTAACCTATATTAGAAACTGAACGTGCATCTGTATACTGCATCAAGTGTAGAAGGCGTCAGGGATTATAATGGATTCTATTTTTGTTTGATGTAGTGCTCACATCTAGAGTAGGCAAGTGTCAAATATTGTTGTGTAAAACTAATAATATTTTTTTTCAAGATTTTTTGAAGAATGGAAAGTTCAAAAGAACAGCATTTATTTGAAATATATATATATATATATATATATATATATATATGTAATCATGTAAGCCTTTACTGTTACTTTTGACTAAAAAAAACTTCCTGACCCCTAACGTTTTAACTATATAGTATAGATCTGAATAATATGTTATAAATGTCTTAACAAATGATTTAAATATAGTTTTACACAAAAAATAAATGACTGATCATTAATAGTTTTATATTTTATAGTCAGACTCAAGGCTGATGTGTATTTCATTTGCAATGGTTTTGTGATGTGAACTTGATTTAGGTACAAGGACTTTGAAACATGTACGTATTATTATTAATATTAGTGTTCTGCTTTGAATCAAAATGTGTAATTCGTATAGATCTGTTTGGTTTGGTTCAAAAGTAAGAAATGTTTATTTTTGAAAAACTTTATGGAGAAAATGAATGGGGAAAAATGCATTTCCTCAAGTATTTGTTGATAAGACTACATTAGTTTACTGAAACTAAATGCATTTAATTAAAAGTAAAAGATAAAACAAAATGCACTTACCTACATAATCAGGAATACCAATTCCAGAGATCTTAGCACACACATTAACTGACAGACTGAGAGAAGAGAGAGAGAGAGAGACATTCAGTACAGAAGAACTGAATGACAGTCCAAAAATGACAACATTAAAGTGATGTTAACAAAAGAGAGGAAGAGGATTGTTAATAAGGGTTGAGTGTTTGTATATGAAGCTAAATGGAAAGTGGGATCCTGAGGGACTTTATGATCCTCAATATTTAATAACCTAATTGAATTTGCCTCTTTCGGTCTCTTCCGTCTCTCCTTTCCTCACTTCATCTTTCTATCCCTCGCTCACTCTAATAATCTACTAACAGAAGACGACAATTACAAAGAACGACTTCCTATTTCTATCAGAAAAAAAAACAAGACACTTTTTTTCACTCTTCAAGATCTCATACAAGCTCTTTACTGTCAATAAATATTCAAGAACATTTCAAAACCCCAATTATATGAAGTCTAATATGTAAACATTGACACACGCACATACACACACAATATCCTGAGAATGGGCCACACAATTAATTTACTAGAATCTTAAGACTGCAGTTCTGTTGCGATAGGGTTCTTGTATCAATTTAAAACTATCCCTTTATTTCCAAAAAACAAACACAACCAGAACTGAAACATGGCACTCTGTCACAAACATCTCACACGCACACAAGCTGTAAGGTGAGAGCACAGAAAAAACACTCATTCAAACACCCTCACACCTCTCCAGCTGGTGCTCAATAACTGTATTTCCGTCATGTTGAACGTGTAATGATATCTGAGCTCAGGGACTCACAACTGCAGTCTTAATGGCCCAACGGGCCAATCCGATGCATAGCATTGCATACAACCCAAATATGTCTAATCAGAAACACCCCATTAGGCCTCCAATACACACTTAGACAGCATTGAGCGTGTCTGAGTTTAAATTAGCGATAAACAGCTGGATGCTGTGCCTCATGAACAACACGAAATACCCATGGGGCCATGTCTGATGGAATCCAGCATTGTGCGTTGGGCTCGAACCATGGAAACCCTGCCATGACCCCTCCGGGTAGTGGTGCATTTTAAAATGCACAGCAGAAGTCATGTGTATGCTGTACAGTGAGAGAGAAAGGGGAGAGAGTATGCATATTTAGGGGCGGAAGTGGCCCCGCTAATTTAATGATGCCTTGTTAGTTCTCCTCCCCTGTGACCAGGGTAAACGCATAATCATGCAGGCCAACAAACACGTGGAAACACGGCAATGCCCGGAGGTTGACCCCCCATGACTCCTGCTCTGACCCCACTGGAACTCTTCCAGCCCTGCAACCCATCTGTAATTACTCCTCACTCCTCAGTATTAATGGCAGTCGTGTGTGGGTGTGTGGTTTGACACTATTTACTTGTCATCTAACACACTTTTGCACTGCATGTAAATAGGCTGTTTTATTGGTAATCTTTCATTTATAAAGCATTACTGCCTTCAGATATATTTAACTCACATTAAAAATATAATTTATAGTTAACAAAATTCTCAATTATCATATTTGTTTTATGTTCAGTAATAATATAATAATGCAATACTATTATTGCTGTTGTTATAACATATTATATAAAAAATATAATTGAAACAAATACAATTATATTACATTTAAATTATTAAATTAGAATAGAAAAATTCAAACCAGAAGCATTTAACTAGCTTTTTATTTATTAAGTACTGATGGGTCCAAAAACTAGTGAAATACTACATTTTTTCTAATTTCACACAATGTGTTTCATTGCTGCAGGAAGAATATATCATAGTCATATAGAAAAATATAAAGTAAAAAAAAAAAAAAAAACTTTCTCAACCTTAACCATGCTGGTGTTTTTTAATTTATATATATTTTTAATGCTCTCTTATTGTTCTGTTTTTCACTGTGTTCATGTGTGTGTCACTGTTTCCAACTACAGTTTGTACATTTATTTTGCTAAGCTACTCTTTTGTTATTGCAGAATTCCACACTTTAGTTCTTTCGTTTGTCTCTCCAAAGCCTCCAGTTCTTTCTTCCCAATGCCAACCCTAACACAAAGACACATGCGGCCCAAGCAGCCAAACAGATCTGGTATGTTTACCATCACAGAGCCCAAAAACTGCTCGTGGGACACAATGTCCATCCACATACGGGGTAAGAATGCAGGGTTCTGTGTATGTTTGTGCGGTTTGGAAGAATGTATTGAGACTTCCAGAAACACTTAGTTTTACCACAGAGAAGGAAAAAAAACTGCTGTAATGTGGTACTATAGACCACATGGATTTAAAACCTCCAAGTCAGCCATAGCTCTTTGGCCCTGACTGCTTTGGTTTACCCTTTTAACAGGACTAAAGTCAGTCCCATCAACTAAACACTTCATCTAGAAGAGATAAATCAAAACATGGACTTTCAAATGTTTTTTTATGAGCATGTAGTACATAATAGTTACATCTTTCTGCCAGAACTAGCAGTGGATAAATAGTTAGTTGACACTTACCAGGTTACCATGTCATCAGAATTGGGCATGTGGCAAGACTTGTCCTCAGGATTGAAAATTTTGGGCATCAAAATCAGCTGAGCATTCACAGTGACCACTGGCCTTGCCCTAGTTTTGTTGGGAGACAATAGAGTGGGAATAATATCAATTGTGTTTAACAAAATAAATAGCAAGACTTAAAGTCAATGTGAATTTCAGTTGGTAACACATTTTATTTCTGTAATGAGATGCATTTCAGAATGGAAAAGGATATTCAATGAAAAAGGTATATCTATTTTATCCATCTTGATATGATTGCGGACAGTCTCCCGGAAGTTCTGGGAGTCTCCCGCATATTGCTGATGCCCGCAAATTAGTTTAACATGCATAGCGCGCGCACGGCAGAGAGGAAAATATATTTTTCTCGCATTTGTCGATCGGAAAGATATTTTTGCCGTCCTTCCTACATGATTCGGCAAAAGTGTAACTTATCAGCTGGCTCCGATGGTCACTAAGATGGGACGTTGTGGTTTCTCCTTTGGTCGCACTCATGGAGGGCCAAGTAAAAGAAGCAACACTCGTTATTTTACTTCTAAAATACAGTAAGTAAGTTCTGTAGACAGTTGACAATGATATGCAAAGTAGTTGCCTTACTGATTGGTTGTAGGTCTACCGACTATCCAATTGAGTGCAGATTAGTTTTTTTTCCTGGTTCGGACACGCCTCATAATCAAAGCCCTATGGAGCAGTATCAGACTCACATTCTGACTAAAATATGAGTATGACGAACACTCTGAGTCTTATTCTAATAAAACATCAGACGGGCTGAGTAAATGAGAACTAAACATGGGGCCAGTCTCTGCTCTGGTCTCACATTCAGTCTGTTGAGACTAGCACTCAAACTGGATTAACAGTGGAAATGTTAGCTTACACAAATACACCAGAGCCCACTACAGCTAATCGCTTTAACACTGACACCGCTTGTGTGTGTGTGCTGGGACTTGTTAATGTGTTTGTGTGTTTTTGGTGGCTTTGAGACAGGAGAAATGGGCCTATTTTGAAACATTTCTGAGGGAAACCTGAGCAAAAACACCCAATGGAAGTCTTGACTACTCAGACTAGACATGCCACAAGTTTGTAGATAATGTTCACTGACTGTACTCCTGTCAACTACAACTGAAGAATTCTTCATGAATGCATTATGAAGCCAGACATTTCAATATAGTCTGTTATGCAATTTTTTAAATATGTTACTATCGTATCATGGAACAGAGAAAAACAACTTCATACAGTATGTATCAGGTTTCTTTCCAGCTAAACCTCAACACAGGTGTTTTCTGTGCTGTTCACTCTAATTGAGAAAACATGTGAGTGTAGAGAAAGCTGTAAGTAAGTTTAGGTCAGAATTTGTGTTATGTTGCTATAAACTAGTAAAATATACACATACATATACATATTATGGGTGCAGGAAAAAAAATCTATTCATATCTAAATTGCGATTCTATCTTCTAGTTTTGCATTGATTTTCTAAAGTGTTACACTTCTTTATTTTAACTTCGCAGTAGTACTATAAGTTACTTAAAGTCATTAACGTTAATCACAATTAGCCGAGAACATGGACTCAATGCGGTGCTCGCGCTGATGGACACATAGCTGAAGTGCGCACGCATGCAATCCCAAATTCAGTTCTCTTTCACATCTACACACAATTATGTCAAAATGCCCATGTTGTGTAGTATTAAATGTATACACACAGAGTCTGTTATGTCCTTGGCAAATGAAAACAAATGGGTTAAAATCGGATGTACAACTATATCCATGCACTCATTCTTAAAAATCACTTTTTTATCTTTTATATGAATCAATTCAATTTATATTTAGTTCATACAGTAGTATTTCTTGCTACATGTTAAATAACCCTATGCTACTTTACCTGAAAAACAAAGTTTATTTAATTTGTATATTTGTGAGCTACAACTTATTATGAAGGTGCATGTTAACATTTTAAAATATAAAATATGAAATTGTCAACATTTGTAATTGACAATGTTGTATTATATGGTGCATTTAAAGTGTAAAATGTCTCACCTGTAGGCCACAACTTTACTCACTCCAAATGCACCGACCAGCAAATCTGTAAAGAGAGTGAAATATACTGTACTAAGAGGTGCAGGACAGACACAATATGATATGAAAACGTGTGAAAAATATATATGAAAATGTGAAAAATGTCTGTTGCAAAAGAAAGAGGAAGAAAGAGAACGAGTGGCTGGATCATAAAGCTTCAAAGCACACTGCAGCTTGAAGTGATTTGGGCCTCCAGCAGTCTCTATCAAAGATTACTCGACCCGTTTCTCATTCTACCAGTCTAGCGTCTTACATCACCTGCCATCTCTGAACAGAGCCAAAGAGAAACCCCAGAGAGCCACGGAGAACTTGTGAGGCTTTAATCTCATTCAACTCAGAGGTGCACCGAGCCACATTTCATTAAAGGAAAGATAAATACACCATGCTGAATGGTTTCCCTCTTCTCTTAATGAAGGTGGGCACAGCAAACATGAATTCCAACCTATATGGGATTTTAATGATGCAACAGAAGAATCGTAATGTCATTTAAATGAATCAGGGCCTTAACACAAATCATGCAACAAGGTTTAATAATACCATCAATTGAATCGCCATCAATAATGTTAAGTGAGACAAACCAACTAGTCCCACAAAACTTAATAGACTTAATTAGTAATTGATTTGCTAATACCTGCATGCAGTTGCTGCTGTTTTCCTGGTAGGCAAAACATGTATAGGAGTAGTTTAATGGATTTTATATAAACAATAAAAATAACAGTTTTTTTCATGCATTTTGATTGAAGTAAGAAAAAATAAAGAAAAATAATATTTTAATAAATAAAGCAGTTGGGGATAAGACAAATATGATGAAATCTGTTTAAATCAAAGGTGAAAATGTTTAAAATTCACCTCTGTTTACTTCATTGTGATATTGTGAATAAAACTAGCTAATATGAGTTCTCTCTCTCTGTCTTATATATATATAAAATAATGTTTTTATTTACCAAAGACACAATTAACTGATGAAAAAAGTGACAACAAAAACATTTAAAATGTTACAAAATATTTCTATTTAAAAAAAATTGTTCCTTTAAACCTTATATTAAAAAAAAGTATTACGGTTTCCACAAAAATATTAAGCAGCACAATCGTTTTAACTGTGATAAAGACAAATGTTTTTTGAGCAGCAAATCAGCATATTATAATCATTTCTGAAGGAGTATGTGACACTGAAGACTGGCGTAATGATGCAAAAAATTCAGCTTTGCAATCAGAGGACTAAATTATAATTCAAAATATATTCAAATTTAGAAAAAATTCCTCCATTCTTTCCTCTTCTTCCCAAATCTTTACTGTTTCTCTACATAGCAAGCCCTACTCCAACTAATGTAACCTATAACAAAAGTAACAAGGAAAGGATAGTGAAAATGTCTTCTGTGGAAATGTTTTTTTTTTTTAAATGATCAGACAAAACAAAACCTGGTCACGGACAACATTATAACCAAATATTCTATATTTTATATAACCATACCTCCAGTACCTGAACAGTGGAAATGTTGGCAGTGTGTGTGTGTTAGTGGTCTGTTGCTTCCTCTATGGCCTCTGCTAAAGCTATAACCATCCATTCATCTCTGACATCTCATTAAACTATAATTGAACCAACATAAACCATAGCAAAAGATCTGCTTCTGACACCCGCTCAGACAATATTAGACATTTTGTTTTCTTTGATGGTGAAATAATTTTTGTGATAAGTATAGAATTTCGAATAAGTACACATTAAACTTTAACCTTCACACAAGGTCGGTTTCATCCAGTCTTTAATCAAACTTCAGCAAGAGACCATCTCTCTCCTTAGTTTTTGAATTGTACAAAGTATTAATAGGAAGGAAGAGTACAAATCGCTCCTGAAGGGATGCATGCAGTCAGGCAAACTCAGAGACTCGCATGCAGGAATGTTCCAGAACAGCTCCAGCACCCTAATGAGTGCTCAGAGACTGCGGCTTTGATTCCTGTTTCACTGAGGTCGATCACTGGCTTTGCTTTCCATCAGGTCCTGCCTTCAGGAATGAAACACCCCTGGCAAAGAGCCCATAGTAAACCAGAGTCAGCAACTTTTGGTATTGTGACAGAAAACACACCTCAAACACAATGGACAGAAACACGCATGCTAACACCGACTGACAGACACACACACACACATCCTGAAGGCATGAGCTCTCATCTTGTAAAGGCAGAGAAGATGACAGAATAATTCAATTTATTACATTCTCACATCTGGAAAGTTCATTTGAGCGCTTAACTTCCTCAGAATAGCAGTGAGGTGTAAATGTGTGTGTGCAACACAATAGTCTACCTCAAAATATTCATGTCGAACCCTTTGGCCACCACAACACAAGGGTCTTAACCGCAGGGATAGGTTAATAGGAGGTGGAATGATGGAGGGAGGAGATGGAAGAAGCTCAAACACTTGAACTTTAATACGGTTAGAGTCTGTTATAGTACTCTTCATCCTCTAGCCAATGAAATGCCGGAGCACAGCCAACTAATGAAATCTTCTCTTTTACCTCCAGTTCAGAATTTCTCTCTCATTTCACCTGACATACAATCACGCATCCATCCAAAGAAGAAAACCAAAACCGAACTCCTCCCTGTAGATTTTGGATAGAAATGTTCTTGATCGGATTGGTAGTACATGCATATTTATAGGGTGCCCACCCAAGTTCCAAAACATTTCTAATGGGTCCTGAATGTAATATTAGTTTCACGTAGTAACAACATATCATGTTTTTGGAAGCAATGTAGAAATATAGTGGAAAGGAGAATTCTGAATCGCAAATCTTTCCACTATTTTTCCGTTTTTTTATACACAGAACGTCAAATTCTGTTTCTACATTTCGCCATTTGGTAAAAGTTTAAAGTCTTTTAAAGTCTTTTTAAAGTCAAATGAATGAAGGAATTGTTAAATGTGCATTTTATCTGTGAACGATGCCTGAAGCGGTGGACAGGAAATGTGGAGTATGTAATCTCCACTGCTGTTTAAGCAGGTCATGATGAATGACCCTTGACCTTTGACTTCAACCCTGCATTTAACCAAAGTTCACTCTAGCCCTCACATAAACCCCAAACCACACACACACACAAATGAAAAGGCATATAAACAGGAAAGGTATCTGTGTGTGATGATTTAATCCATGTATAGAGCTAATGGAAAACAGTATTTTATTTCTAATATCTGTAGACATACTCAAACACTGTCAACCAAGTTTCCAACCAACCAAGCAATTTGTACACAACACACTGAACATGAAACTGCGGCACAATGTGACAAAAATCCCAGCCAATCTGAAGATTTATTTTAATTATAATTATTTTAAAAGTGTATAAGGGACAATGGACAGTACATGACTGCCCCAGAATTAGCTACACAGCTAAATTACATCTTGTGTCCTAGGGCAGGAAGAAAATTCAAATGCTATAACTAAAGTATTAAAAAATTTCAATGAACACATATTTGTCTTTTCCTTAGCCATATCTTGTAATTTGAAAAGCATAAGAGTAAAAGAGGACATAAGAGGACACGGTGATAATTGGTATTTCCAAATATGAACAGCTCTTATAGAAAAAGCTAGAAGAAGCTCTTGTCTGTCTTTATATAAACTATGTAAAGGTTTAAGAGTAGATTTTGCGACCATGATGATACACAGTATTAAATATGATAAAATATCATTGATTGCATAAACTTTAGCACCATCTGTTGAAAGTTGATTCTGTATAAATAATCAACTCATAAATAATCTGTATAAATAATCAATATGTTATTTATCACTATACAGAAAACATTTTTACCTGCTTCTTAAATGTCAGGTCTGACTCTAAAATACTAAATACAAATTTTAACATCCCCCATTTGCATTTATTCATCTAGCAGATGCCTTTATCCAAAGCAACTTACGAAAGTAGAATACAACAAAGCTATTTTAATCTGAATGAACTAATGAAAGTGATATAGATCTGAAGAGGTCGATTAGTACATTCACACAGATCAAAGATTGCGGAGATCACATCTCTAAAAAGCTGTGATTTATCCATTCTGAGAGGAAGAGACAGGAAAACCTGTTTTCTGTCTTTCGTTTTGATTTCTGGGTCTGTTCAACATCATTGTGTGTGTGTGTGTGTCACACCTGTGTGTGATTGTTCTACCATCCATGGTTTTCATGAATGGAAAAGATCTGCGTTTATTAGAACATATTAAAGATGACAATCCTGTCACCATGAAAGAGCAAACTCTCACACACACTCATGCGACACACATGTGCATATCAGCTGCCTAACGATCTGACTTCCTGTCTCTATAAAGAAAGCATGTGACAGCATCTGCTTTGATGATTTTGTACAATGCCATTAAAAAATGAAAGGGGAGATTAAAGGACAGAAAGAATGAATACATCGCTCTGTTTTTGTTGAAATGGGCTTGAGGCGTTACAGCAGAGTTTGGCTTTAGAAACACGCTGGGTGTTTCTGTAGTTCTGTTTCTGAAAATGAATCAGTTAATTCATGTTTCTTTTAGTCAAAACAAGATTATGGCGCAGCTGTGATGGATTGTGGGAACATGCAGATCTGTATTCTTCTAAAAGCTCTAAATATTCACCCAGACGGTTCATTTCAATATAAACTAATCCATAAACACTATGTGAAGACTAGTTGGGATCATTTCGAATTCAAAAAAAATAAAAAAGTATGAAACATATATGTAGGTGCTTTCCTGATTATTTCTTCTCACAGATACTCAGAAACACCTGGGTCTGAGGAAAGAGAGTGGAACCCTTAAAACTTCATCTGGAGCCCAGTCAACATGTCTGTCACACACACACAGGCTATAAATAGCTTGTTCAGTCACCTGCAAATGGTTATCTATATAGTCTTGAAACAATCGGCTCTAAAATGTTCAGTAAGATTTGAGCTTTTCAGGTAAACCCCAAATCACCGCGTTTAATGAAAACAAGCAGAAACATCATTCATTAATATATGCGTGATTTGATGAGGTTCAGAGTCAGACAGCAGAGAGTGTCAGTAATCACATATGGAAGATTGCTCTCAACAAAAACATTATAAATAAATCTTGAGAATAATATGCAGAAACAGTATTTCACAATAACAGAAGGCAAAGAACAACAAAAGAAAACAACAAGAATGAGTGGAAATACTTTCACACATCTGTAAAACATGACCAGTAGATTGACCAACAAAGTGACTCAACCTGGATGTCTCAGTCCAGTCTTTTTCTTCTTCATCCAGTCTTTCATTCCTCCAACATCAAATCTCCCTGGCTTACATCAGTTCTCAAGCATGATTGTCTTAACAGAAACTTGCGTAAACAGAGAGAGGAAGAGACTGAAGTTTTTTCTTTACTCACCAGGGTACTGGTTGTTATCGAGGTCAGACGCTCCACGCAGGGTGAATCCAAAGCCTGCTGGGACGGCGGAAGAGGCCCAGTCACCTCTCAGCACTTGAGATGCCTGTAACATCAGTCCAGATTTCTGCCCATTATAGATGAACACCCTGCCACCACGGTCCTCACCTGCAAACGGAGCCCCTATTGCCACATCTGAGTAAGAAAGAAATGGAGAAACCATATTTCATCAATTACAGCATTAACACTATACACAAACTAGACGAGATGTACATTCTATGTGTTTCCACCCTCAGCCTACCTATGAAAGCCTGTTTGAGGCTATGGAAACCTCAGAGTTAATAAATAAATAAGATTGTGAGATAAAGTAAAACATTTGAAAAAAGTGTGTAGTAAAGTTGCAGCTGTGAGATACAATCAATTGTGGGATTTAGTCTCAACTGTGTGGTGAAGTGGAAATTATGAGGAATAAATTGTAAATAGTGAGATATTAAGTCTCAACTTCATATCTCACACTCGCAAGTATTTCTCTGAGTTGATGCTTTATATCTCCCATTGCAACATTATGTATATTTCATATTATGTTGCAATGTGAGACAGTCTCAATTCTTAGATTTAAAGATGCAGTTGGGAGATGTTGCAACTGTGAGATATACAGTAGTCGCGATTATAAGAAGTAAAGTTGCAATGCGAGATATAAATAAGATATAAAGTCTAAATTCTGAAATTAAAGTTACAATGTGAGATATTAAGTTTTAATATCAGATGTGAAGTTACATAGACATAACTCCTATTTGCGAGATACAGAAAAAAATGAAGTGGCTACTGTGAGATATTTAGATCTGGATACATGAAGTCACAAAGTTGTATTTTGTTTTTACTTTTATGTAAAAACAGGCTTCATAGTACCTACCAGAAAACCAAGATTCACACTGAGTGCTATACATTTGGCTCAGCTCCATTTTGTCATTTATCATTTTTTATTAATTATTTCAGTGTTGGCTATGGTGGAGTGGAACAGAGAGATGCTTTTATGCAGAAGAAAAGAGGATGCTTCTGAAAAGAATACTGATGATTTACACAAAGCTCCACAGGGAGCGACCGCTCTTTTCTCCTCGGCACCGAGGGACTATTACAGAACAATAACAGACTCATGCACAAGCACAAGTTCAAGTCCACTTCTGCATGGCCAATAATTCTCCAGGGTAGAGTTATCTATTCAAGTGTTCCTCCTGCCAGCAGCACTGCTCAAATCATTAACCTACATTTTGGGCAGCGGCACACACACACACACACAAGAGGAAAAGTGAAGAAACGGAAAACTGCTGACCCAGACAGAGATGCCCACTGAGGGGCAGAAAGACTGGGATGTTGAGGAAATAAGGTCTATAAAGATCTATGTCAAGGATATTCACATTACTTTGCTTTAAGGCCAGTTTAGGAAAATGGCCAGGAGCCAGTGAACGATCTAATAGTAATGATACATGGGTTTCATTTCATTTAATACCAGTCTTTTATATGTATAAAAATAGTTATAAGTGCTGAAAACCCCTTCCACTCAATATAGTCCATATGAATTTGATTATGACACCTTATTTACACATAAACACATTCATTAAATTCATAAATGCTTCCAGTATGCTAACTCCAGATCTTCCCATTTAAATAAAGTCTGAGTATGCATCAATAATAATGACAGTATTTGAATTATTAGTAATTACTTATCATAATTTTTGTACAAAATAAATATTATTATAAGTATTATACTCTATATATATATATAATATATTATAGTATATATATAGTCATTTATAATATCTATCTATCTACTGTATCTATCTACTCTATCTATCTATCTATCTATCTATCTATCTATCTATCTATCTATCTATCTATCTATCTATCTATCTATCTATCTATCTATCTATCTATCTATCTATCTATCTATCTATCTATCTATCTATCTATCTATCTATCTATCTATCTAAGTTGCCAAAAATTGTGGCTTGGAAGCAAGTGGCATGATGTAGAACAGCCTCGTAAAAAGCACCTGCAAAATGCACAACCTTCCTGATTATAAAGGGAAAAAGAAATGTCCTGTTGTGTCACTTGATTACAGTGTAGACATGGAAACTGCAACTGAACTGTCAAAAACAATAACAAAGTTGTTAAAGATAGATAGTTATCGGCTGATATTCTGATAACCTAATGTGGAGCTGCATTTGGCCCTTAGGCCGGACCTTGAGCATCCCCGATCCATTTCCTCACTCTATTATTAAAACTCCAAAAAATAGCCAAAAACAAAGGGACAAAAGGATACAAATTCGGAAAGAGAGAAAGCCCATGACTAATGACAGATCTGAGAGGAATGTGTGCTCATGGAAATCTTCTAAGCTAAGCAAACCATTCTGAGGTAGAAGGGAAAGAAAAGTTTAATTACACTTAGAAAAATAAAATCATCACCACAAGAAAGCACTCATTTCCGTCCAGCAGACCACCGTGTTTGTGTGTGTCTGAGTGGGAAGTGTGTGTGCGTGTGCATGTGTGTGTGTGCACACGTGCGTCAGTGTATGTAATAATGCTCTGTTTCTCTGTTTCTCTTGGACGAGTTCCTTTCTATAAATATCCATCGTGTGTTTTTGGTGATTCTTGATCATTTCCTTTTCCTGTTTTCCAGCAGTGGGCACAGTAGCTGGCAAAATGCCCAAAGACCCCCAACAATAACAGCCTGATGGTCAATGAAAAAGAAAAGAACAGCATAATATATGTGAGAGAGAATTCATTATGACACTTTACAAGATACTTAATTGTGTGGCTTGGCCTTAATCGACTGCATACATACACTACATGCCACAATGGAGAGAAACAGACGTTTACAGACACACAGTAAGAAACCACTGGGTCCAAAAATATCAGACAGATAAAATCATGCTCGCGGGCCTAATCTCAATTTCTGTCCCTAATGGAATTATATTTATAAAACATATATGCATTTTGTGAAATAAATAGATTCATATATATATATATATATATATATATATGAAGAGTTCAGATGCAAAAGCCTCTAAATGCCATTTGAAATTTTCTTCTAAAATGATATTTTTTATCAAGCTTGTATATTTAAGTTCAGTAATTTCACTTAAATGGCAATGAAGATTACCTATTAATTGTCATTTAAGTGAAATTACTGAACTTAAATATACAAGCTTGATAAAAAAATATAATTTTAGAAGAAAATTTCAAATGGCACTTAGAGGCTTTTGCATCTGAACTCTTCATATACATATACATATATATATATATACTGTATACACACATATTGTGTCTGTACGCAACAATCGTGACGTGGAAGGTCACAGTGGCTGGTTGACGTATTTCATCAGCGGTATCTACGCCGTATTCTTATCTAGAACGTACCCTGAGTTTGTTCAACTAGCTTTGTGTAACAGGTCATAGGACACTAGAGTCCGTATACACACACATAAGGGATACCTCTCACTGGATACTGTTCATGGATCTCACTTTTCTCTGTATGTCAGTATTTGACTGCTAAACTATTGTTTCGCAGGTAACAGCAAATCCATCTGGAGGCACCAGAGCAGTAAAAATGAACAAACAAAGCTCAGAGCAAAGCAGCTAGAGAGACTAAATGACAGAATAATTCATTATGACAAGTGTCACCTCATCACTGCAGTGCAGCCATATGGCTGATGTAACAGAGATGCAGTGTGCGATATCAGGTTCTTTATGACTATATCAGATATTGATTAAGTCATTATTCTCCAAAACTCCCGGACATCATCATCTCATTATGCGATACTTTTACATAGCCAGATAATGTAAATCAAGAGATCAAGACGCATAAATAATCCACAAAGTGAATCCCTGGATGAATTAAAGTGTTTTGTTTCCATTAGGTCTTCTTGAAACTCAGACAAATTATATACAGCATTTGAGTCTCTAAGCACATTGGCATTTCATACAAGTTGAAAAGTCTTATATTACAACATGTTTTTTTCTTTTTTTAATCAGTGACTGTGGATTGAGCATCAGTTGGCTTACATCTCATGTATAGATATCATATCCTCATCTTACTTTAATCCACATCAAGTGTCATTCTAAAATTACAGCGACATATCAGGTTATGTTACAGTAACATATGGAGCTGATTCATTGATTGCATGCAATAACACTCTCACACACACTCTCTCACACAAACACTCTCACGTGTGTGCACACACACACGCATCATTACAAGAGAAAACCTCTCTGTTACCAGCCCAACTCAATCTGTCTGCACTGATGGAGATGATCTGTGGGTGATTAGTCCGGCCTGGACTCCACCCCTGGACACCTGGTTCACTTCAGATGCAGAATGAACTCTTGAACAATTCATAATAAATTGAGAAAATGCTGCCATGACAACAGGATTTGCCTTGATCCGGACAGAAATTGAGAGGCAGGGCTCAACTAGAAGTATTTTTTCTGCTTGCCAGGGTCAGGCCAGCTGTTCAAAATTCAGGGGACCTATTACCAGTTCACTTGATTACATGATACATACACATTCTAATTTATTGATTGATAGATTAAACCTTTTATTTTGTAAACATTATTCTGATAAATTCTGTCGACTTAACTCAATATTGATCAACTTAATATTGTGCGTAATTTAAACTTTAAAAAAATGTTGTAGTAATGAATTTGTTTGAGTGACTTCAAAAGTTATAAAAATGATGTGTTATTTTAAGCGTTTTAATAAAGGAAAAGACCTGTTAGAGTTTCATGCTGTTATGTTTGACATTTAAAAGTGTTTCTGCTGTTGAATGTTAAAGGTCACCCAAACGAATGTTAGTTCAACCAAAAATAAAAACTCACGTTGTACTCACAGTACCACTTGGACTATTTTAAACATTGTCTTTACTAACTTTCAGGGTCGGCAAGTTTCAATTACATAGACCCCTATGGAGGAGTGAGCCAGCTCTCAGATTTAATCAAAAATATCTTAATTTGTGGTCCAAAGATGAACGAAAGTCTTAGGGGGTTGGAACGACATGAGGGTCAGAAATTCCAGACAGAATTTTAATCTTTGGGTGAACTAACCCTTTAAGGTTGTTTTGCAATAATATTGGTTGACCAGCAACAGGAATATGAACCAAGTTGTTCACACCCAACTCATCACAGGAAAATGCAGACAAGGGCAACAAATCACTAATTTTACACTTCCCGAATGGGTTAAAACTGAACATTTTAAGTGTGCGATAGAGTGACAGGATATCCCACACAAAAAAGCCAAGTAGGAAATGGGAGTGTATGTAACTTCTGTCTCACTGCCCTTGAAAAAAACTCTTGAAACATGCAATACAATCACATAGGCATTAACACTTACCCGAGTATCCATCCTGGTTGATATCTCCAAGAGGGGCGATGGCACTTCCATACCGGCCGAATAGGTGCGTTCCAGTGAGTGTGATGGGAGGGGAGAAGAGAAGCACGTCCTCTTGCAGGTACAGGTACACACGGCCCACCTCACGCGGTTTACTCTCAAACTCACGGTCCATGTAGAGTGGGGCTCCAACTAGCACATCATCTAGCCTGTGTGTGCACAAATAAATGCACAAATTTGATATAAAGACCTATTTGTATTTTTACAGGCCCATAAATAATATTCTGAGAATAACCAGAACTAAAACCAACAAAAATGGTGGAGAACATTTCCCCTTTGTACTTCTAAAACTTCTCAGATCTGATAACATACAGTATATAATCAAGTTGTGTTATTTGATATCTAAAAATAAATCCCAGCAATTTATACATTCCAGCATTTGGTAGCCAAAATAACAAAAACCATACATTGACTTCAACACTACAGACTGATTGGCCCAGTTCCCATCAAATGAGCCCTTTCAACAGCTATACAGTAAGTGTAATGAGCTGTAATTCACTCTCTGTGCATTAGTCATTGCTGGTTTATCATTTAACTGCCCTTTCTCTGTATACTGCTGATTTACTGTGTATTCAACCATGTACCATTGGTAAGGATATAGGAAGCCTTTCAGTTAATGGCATAAACACATGTCAGCATTTCAGACATAAGAGAAGGAGCTGTGGCGCTGATGTGTCAGCCAGGTTTGTATCCTCATAAGACCAAATTAGAATCAAATTTTATATATACTGTATAAAATGTCGCCCCGGATGATGCAAGCATTTAAACAAGGGTCAGGTAAACCAGAGCGTAATGCAGGAGTCTAAATAAGCCAAACCCTGAAGAAAAACTGATGGTCCTATTTATATCATTTATATAGTCCTATTTGGCTCTGAATACAACTAGTAACTGAATACAGCAAGAGCTGGTCAATTAAATTAGCTAAAAATAAATACCGCACTTTTTTTCAGTGCTGACAGACCGTGAGGAACACCTAATAACTATGACTATGGAATGTGCAATTTTGAGTCGTACACATGGGGATAAAGAACTCAACGCAGACAGACTTATTAGTACCACCCCTTGCAGGGGAGTCATTGGACATTGTTTTCCAAGTTGACTTACCCATCTTCATTTACATCAGTCACTGCAATGGTGTATCCAAAATAAGAGGCCATCTGTAAGAGCCAATCATATACGAAATCAAATGAAACTGAAATGTGACAGAAACGAGACACATTGCTAAAACAATTGGTATAATATTTTCTGCTGAAAGCTATTAAAAAGATCTGTCTTATTCAAAAACTACTCTTAGTCCCATTAACCATTGTAAAGTGTTACATAAAAAAAAAACATATTAAAAAGGTTGGACAGTCACTCACCTGCTCCCCAGTAAAATTCTGAATAAACGTCAGGTTTGTTGCATTGATCACCGCCACCTAAAAAAGAAAAGTCTGATTATATTATTGCTCATAAAACACTTTTTACATTCATGACAGATTGTCATGATTCTGGATTATTCCCTGATGTACGGCAGGACTTGTGTATCTGACCACATGCCTGACCTCCGTTCAAACCAGAGTGATTTTCCTCATGTTAGGCATCTAGCACTCTAATAATTACATCCAGATCGATCTTAGAGGATGTTTTATGGGTCACGTATGACTGAGATCCTAAATCAAACAAAGCCACATATGGCTAATACCCAAGAATATAACATGCAGTGAAAAAAGTCCCAAAATTCACTGCTTCACAAACCACCCATCTAGCTGAATATGATTCTGTTTAATTGAGGGCCAAAGGGGACACCCCAACGTCCTAGATGCTACAGCACTAATTGGGAATTCCTTCTTAAGACTTCAAATCACATCCAGATGAGAAACTCACATCCACTTACACAAGTGACTTAGAGGCTTTACTCTTACCAGAATACATCTTTGCAAAACATACAGCTTGTCTTTGTTTATTTGAATAAATGCATGTTTCAATTGACACAAATGAAGTGAATAACCTCTCAAACATTTCTCACATTCTTCCTTACCTCTTGACCTTCACCTCTGACCTTTGATTCTCAGTCTTACCATGACACAAACACAGGAAACAAAGTATGTTTAGGGATGTATACTTACATAACCAAAGTTGTGTGCTCCTCGAGGAACCCCTGCTACCAGTTCTGCATGAAGGACATACGAAAATCATACAGTATACCTACCCAAGATATTTACATATGTGCCAGCAGGTTTATTTTAGACAAGCAGAGTTGTAGAAACAGTTCAGAACAATAATAAAACAGTCACTTTTCCAGTCTTGAGAAGAGTGTGTATGAGTGAACGTTTCACACACACACACACACAACCACTTTTCTAGTGCATCTCGGGGAAAACAGTGAGGTGAGACTTGTGAGTGTTGTAAATCTCGTCTCTGTCAACACCATGTCAGTCACTCGTTTATTATAAATATTTAGAAGAGAGAGACAGAAGGGAAAATGACACATAGCGAAGGAGACAGAGGCTGTCTGAAGCCTGATGGATGATCTTGGAGATAGTGATGTGGTAGGAGGGTTTGTGGCTGTCTATCTGTCAAATCTGTCCCACCCACTGAGATTGGAGATGGACCATTCAAAAGTTTGCCTCGTTTCTAACTGCCTCTTTCGACCCATCAACCCCACTCGTGCTCAACCCTTCCCCCCACAACCTCAAATTTCCCGACGCCTTTGTGCACCACAGCAAGAACCCATTTATGAAACTCTGACAAAAAGAGATCAGCATGTCTCTCCTCTCTGGATTCACCACAAATCCAGACCAGATAGAACATATGTATGAGAAATACAGAGAGGGAATTCTGGGAAGAATGGAAAGAACAGAAACTCTCAGTAGCCGTGTTCAGTTCAACTCGGAGTTGGACAATGATGCCTACACAGAGAATATATGCTGTGTGGTGATATTAGTTCAGTTACAGTTATAACTTATTTGTCATCTTGCTTTTATTCACTATTAGTAGAAGCCTGTTGTAGCGGCCGGGAAGATCCATCCTCAAGTAGCAACTTTTTAGCAAAGCCTGCTTTGTACAGCCCCTCGTTCACAAAGCAGTCTGGTGAAAAATTATTTGTGCTGACAAACACATTTTGGTACCATTATAGGGGCCACTTTATCTTAAAAATAAAAGTAATCCAGTGCGTCTTCAGCAGCTCAGATGTTGGGAGTAAATGAGGAATGCTATGGTCATTCTTACATCCAACAATAAAACACCTAACGTTAAATCGCTTAGAAGATATTCTTGTCTACAGCTGCTCCAAAGTCATAACAATGGTGGACTGAGTGGACAGCTCACTCAGGGCAGGTCTATGCTAAAACTGCAGTAGGAGGGGCTTGTACAAAAGTAAGTCACATTACCCAGAATCTGAAAACGACTTGTTCTGAGACACTGCTTATGATTTATGGGGATGGAAAAAAAAGCACTAGGTGGATTTTTATCATTTTAGTGTGGTTGTGTACATACACTGCCAACACAAATTTATGTTCAAACACCATGCAAAAGTGAATTTTGCATAATAGGCGCCCTGTAAAGGATTATTTCACTTTAAAAAAAAAAACTTTTGCTGAAAATTTACTCGTCTTTCTTTCTTCGATCGAAAAGAAATTAAGGTTTTTGAGGAAAACATTACAGGATTTTTCTCCATATGATGGACTTCAATGGACTCCAACAGTTTCAAGGTCCAAATGACAGTTTCAGTGTAGCTTTAAAGGGCTTTAAACACTACCAGATGATGAATAAGGGTCTTATCTTGTGAAACGATCGGCCATTTAAAAAATAAATAAAAAGTTTAAGTTTTATAAGCACAAATGCTCGCCTTGCTCTGTTCTGTGATGAGCGTTCGTGACTCTCCTGTTCGAACCCATCCATCAAAATGAACGAATCTTTTTTCGAGTCATTTCGTTCATTTTGTTCGTTGAATGAACGAAATGACTCAAAAAAAGATTTCTTCATTTTCATTCGTTCGAGAAAATAGCCTTTTCTGGCCATTTACAGATATTTACTGTAATTGAAATCTACAGACGCAAATAGATAAAGTGCTATGCACGATACAATTCAAAGTGTATTTTGGATGTTTTCTTTTCACCAATCTGAAAAAATAAACCACATCATAAAAAGCCAATAAGCCAAAATCTCACTACAGTGTTTTACTGAATTGTGGGCGGTTAGTAAATAAGATGCAGGGTTTCGCAGAATGGTACTGTCTGATGGATAGGTATGCTAATGATTGCTTGTGAGTCGATGTGGGTGCACATGTGTGTGTTAGGGAGGGATGGCAGACTGCAGACAGGCTGTTTGTCACTGGGTGGCATGTCAGGGACAGAATCCTGTGGGGGCTCTGTAATTATGGTCTGAGGCTGAAGGGTCCGATCAAAGCTCAGCAAGCAAGAAATCCACACAACAACCACACACAGACATAGTTCTCTCGCTCGCACATACACAAACTCTACAAAAGATGCAAAAGTTTGTTTAAGCGTCTAAGATAGAGGCCTGCTACCAAACATTACGTTATGTGACAAACTGACGAAATATGTTTTGAAGAATATGTTTGTCCCCACAGTGAAAGTCAATGGGGTCCAAAACAACACTTTTTTATTATATGAAAACAAAAAAACAAATGGGCTTTTTCATGCTCAAACAGTAACATTACATATTAAAGAATGTGTAAAAAAGCATATTACTGTATGTCCTCTTTAGAAGTTCTCACCTTGCTCAGAATCACCTGTGAACTCTCCAACCGCTACAGAGTACCCTAACAGATGAACAGAGAGAGAGAGAGAGAGAATAAAACCAGCGACACCACACTGAGAGAAACAGTTGATGCTGCAAACCAAAGTGGGTCAGTTTAAAAATAATGTTTACTCATGTTATCTTTATCTCTTCATTTTATTATTGATTGCACTTTTATCATGACATTGCAGCTGTGATGATGATTACTTACAATACATGAGGGAAAATGCTCATAGGATTTTGAAGTGTGTATTTAAGGAAATTGTGCGTGTGTACTGAGGTCTGCAGTTCCAGATGTAAATGTTATCAGAAAGCAAAAACTCAGCACCAAACTGAGCTATGGGACAGAGGGTCAAGGTTACGTCAACATCAACAAAAAAGCTTGTGTGTGTTCATGTGCGCAGGTTTATTAAATTGACTGAGGTTGGATCCCCTGACCCATAAACAGGGCCTCAAGCAAATCGCTGGTGTCCCATAAAGCATCTTTACCTTTCAAAGGCAAACACACAGACACGTCTCTTACCTAGGTAACTGTCATCATATGCGTCTGATGCAGCCACAGTCTGCTTCTCTCCTTGAACTTTGCGCAGAATATTTTTCAGGGAATAGCCGTTCAATATCTCTGCAACTCCTGCAGTAATCACTTGACCTGATCACACAAATACACATTTCTGTCAGTTTTCACATACAGATGTTGTGTGAGTGTGAGTTAATTTTTTATTAGACAAATTTGTACGATTGTGGTGGCAGATATCATTACTAATTTCCTGGATGGCAAAACATCAAACTATAATGCACAAAATCACTACAGAAAACCATATGAACTAAAAAATAGGAATAAAAGCAGCAATAAAGATTTTGTGGTAAAATAAATTCTTGGACATACTAAAAATAAATGATAAAAAAGCATTTGTCCTTTAATGTCAATAATGTTACTGCAATATTTTAAAAAATAATAATTTTAATGAAATAAACTTATATGCTAATGGTCATATATATATATATGTATATATTTTTTTTTAATTATTGATAGTTAATTACCACATTCAACTACAATAATTATACAATCATATTAAGATGAATAATTATAGCTGTTTGTTTCTGTAATATCTTTCCCAATTTGTTTTTAAATTCTAAGATAAATTATTGTGACCCACAATTTTTTTTTTTATTGCACAATAGGTATAATATAGGTTTGATAAGTTTTTCTTTGGAATAGGTTTAATAAGATTTTTTTATTGTAGAATATCCCAATAATTGATGTTTTGGTCCAAAGATGGCAGAAAGACCAAAATTAAAACCAAGTGGACACAATTTATCTCCCAAATTGTGTCAAAACCTCACTGTAATGCTTTAACAACATTCATATTTGTCAATCTGCAACCATCTACAGGGCCATTACACAAGCTCTGAGGAAAAAAACACAGAAGCAAGTTCGCCTCACAAATTAAGATTTGACATGGTGAATAATGCGTGAGAGAGAGAGATTTTCTCTCTTTTTGTTGTTCAAGTTCCATACACACATTATTCTCATTTACTACCAGGCTACAGCCTGACCTGAACAACCCTAACCATTAATCTCTCTTAATATGTGTGTTTAGCTATGTATCTGTGTATGCACGTGTCTCTATCAACTCGCTTTTGTTATGTGGATACAAGACACAACATGTGTTAGTTTTTGGTGGTACTTTTCTCAATTTTTCTCAATTGTTGTCCTTCCTCAAAAAAAATTATGAAAGTCAAAGGTTAAGATGGACTAAGCGTGGGAATAGAGGAGAGGAGAGAATGCGAGTGGCAGGTCATAACTTATAATGCATTAGTATTTGTCCACAGCATGAAGTATATGAGAAAGAGAGCGAGAGAGAGAGACCCTGTGTCCAACATTATTTTTTGTCTCATCTCTAGTCATCAATAACACATGTGAGACGTGATGTGGAACCCAGTATTATCAGCATTTATTAAGAACTGTAACTCTCAGTCTGTGTGGGGTCTAAAGATTGAGCTCATATGTTTTCATATCTTAACATAGTACTGCAATTACACAACAATCAACATCTAGCATAGTGTTCCAAATTCAGACACAAACAATCACATATACATCCGGCCACAGAATATTTAACTTTGCCTCATTTAGTTAGGGCCAAACATTCATTCCACATATATTTATTTATTTTTTTTGAGAAAATTTGAGATTTTTTTGCTCTCTACAAGCAATACACAAGCTCTCCCTCTCACATCTTTTAGATTTGACATATGCTGTCCTGAGACTTTTCGGTTTCTGTGGTTGCAGTAGATATTGAACACACTTAACTTGTTAATCAGCCAGATGAGTTGATGCTGACAGTCTCAAAATGCCCAAACTGTTCTATCCCAAACATAAACATCGCTAAACAAACGCAGGGGTACAGATCTCCGCATGCTCATCAAATGTACTTCATTGTTAATTGAGCAGAATGTACAAAAGTGAGAAAGTGCAGGCGTTCATTACCCTGCAGTCACTGGAGCTTAAAATCGATGATTACAGCACTAACTGTGAGCCGACACAAAAGCCACTGACCAAAAAGAACAGCTCATTGACCTCGACCAGTCTTCTATTATCACAAACCGCCATCACCGACCCATCTGTGATGAGTGAACTGTGACAGAACACTTCACTGAGGAACGCGGAGCACTGATTGGCTGAACAGACTCCGCAATGGTAGCACTAACACACTGAGATAATCCCTGCTTATTTTGCTAACGGGGCTCATGGGAGGTGACGTGTCATCTGTCTGAGTGTCTGTTATTTTGCTCTGATGGTGGAGGAAGGGTCAGCCTGGTCAGTTTGTTGGAAGGAACTAAGATTCTTAGGCTCCTGTGAGACTGAGTTTGGGATATGAGAGACTTGTGTCTGCAAATCTCACTCAGGGAGACTCTGTAAAAGGATGGAATGATGAGAAAATAATAAGGAGAAATGTGCTACCTTGCCAGTAGAAACTCCCTGGTCCTCCCACAACCAGAGTCCCTTCCTGAAAGAAGGAGAAATAAATGAGTGAGGAACTAGGAGAGAAGGTAGAAATGAGGAGGTAGAAATGTGTGTTTGCTTGTGCAGCAGTCTTTTAAGAGTCTTGAAACAGTGGTGTGTGCTATAAATGTAACACACAAGTGCGAGTAATATAGAGATACTAGAAGAATTTTTTTTTTGAACAAAAAATAATGACATCATCATGTCACAAAGGAAGTAACCATAACGATGAAATACACAGACATGTTTAAGAGGAGGGAGATTTGTTACCTTAGTGAAATCAACACTGAAGCCCGCCTGGCAGAAGCCCTGGCCCTCAGGGTCCGGGTTATCTACAAAGATCAGAGCAACCTCAGTAAAACAAGTCATTAAGATATGCCTGAGTACATAAAGTTTCAGCACTTCAAAGACAAATATGTCAAATATTTATGTAAATGGATGGATGAAGGGATGCAATGAAACGTTCAGAAGTTTGCACTTATTATTCGTGAATGAGATGTAAATATGAGGTCTACATTTGAATGTATTGATCTTTTTTATTTATTTATATTAAGTATTAAGCATAATATAATTCATATTCATGAGCTAAGCCACTACCATTAAATAACATCACAATTCATTTCACACATCTGGGCAAATTTCTTCATAAAATGAAGTGGCAACTATGGTCCTAAGCCTACGATTAATCTCAATCCCAACCATAACCAATCTCTATCTAAAGTCAGCGGAAGACAATTGATTGAGAAGAAGTCCAGGCCAAAATCTAACCCTAAAATCTGATTGGAGGATAGGAATGTTGTTCCAGGCCAAAAAATAAAGGGTGTTAATCCAGGAACATGCTAAGATATTATGTCCTGTGTGTTAATATAATATGTTGTACAGTAGGTGGGGTGAGTTAATGAGGCATAACAACACTTCCAAATCCCAACCACAGCATGTTCTCTGAAATACAATAAACTCTTTCTCTTATTCCATCTCTGTTTCTCTTCTTTCACTCCTCTGCCAGACTTACTCAACACCACGGCCTTTTCAAATGTGTGGGTGTACACATGGATGAGTGTGTCTAGTCTATAGCGAACACAAGCTGGATAATATCAAAGCAGAGTGTCCCTGCCCTGCAAGGCGAACTCTTCTAGCTGACCTGCCAAGGAGACGACTGGTACTTGAAAATGTTTGACAGAGTCAGGAAAGTAATTCACAGTCATTATGGCCTCATATGCCCCATAAAATAACTTTCCCGCTGAACAGATGAGACACTAACTGTTAATACAGACTGTTTCAGTATGAGTGTGTGAATTAAAAAAACAAAAATGTGTGTATCTGATGTGACGCCCAAAAAAATCGGAGTAAATTATTATCTACTACCCTTAACGGTGAATGAGACCTCAAAGTACAGGAAATAAGCAGGAAATGACATCAAAACAAACATGTGAGTTTCCCCTTTGATTTCTGTTTACAACAGGGGATATGACTGCCATGCCAACTGGCACAAATGGGCAGGAACGGGCACAGGCTGAAAAGCAGCAGATGCGTCTGATATTCTGTGTGAAAATCAGGGCTGGCACAACAACTCATTTTTACTAGTCAGCTAGTCATCCAGAAAACTAATCGGCTAGTTATATGTAACTACATGTACAGTAAAGCCCAGAGTATACTTCGGCTGTCTGCATTCCGCACACTGTCCCTTAGAAATATCATTTCTAAGGGTGTCACAATTTCGATTTATCGAATTTAATTCACAATCCCAAACTATGAATTAAAAAATAGAATCGTCGATGCTGCCACGCGCCCATGTCACGTCCGTTCGGCTTGCCAAGTAGAAAAAACACGTGTGTTGAAGTGCTGCAAGTCCATGGTCCATCGAGTAGCAGGAAGTTTTTTGGATTTCCAGTGAGTTATGTTGACAATGTTCACGCTTCAAAAAAGCTACAGTTTACAGACATCCCAAGTCTCGCGGAAGTTCCGGGAGTCTCCTGCATATTGATAGCGGCTCCCTGATGCACGCAAATTAGTTAAAATTTCCCAGAATCTAGAGTGAGCAAGCAAGAGCGTGCATGCCGAGACATGCTTCAAACCATATTGCGTGCACGGCAGAGAGGGAGAGAGCGAGAGACCTTGCGTGTGTGCCTCATGAGCACATGTAAGACAGAGAGCATCCTGATTGATAATAGCCGATTGATAAAAATGGAGAATCGAATCGAACCGTGACCTTAGAATCGAAAATGTAATCGAATCGAGAATTTGGAGAATCGTGACACACTTATTTCCATTATCAGGAGCGTCCACGGATGTCCAATTTTTACGGCTAAAGGAGTATACTTTGAGAGGTTTGCGCGCTTAGCTGTGCGTGAGACAAAGCGGAACGTGGAAAATGAAGTATAGGCTACACGGGCCTTAAATCAGTCAAAACACTCAGTACTCTTAGTGCGGTCCAACACTGCATTTTCTGTGCAGCTGAAGATGTTCAGTCATATCTTCATTACACAGGTTCATGCTATTTGCGTTGCAATGAACACTGCCAAAAGCAGTCATGTTCCACTGGCCTATAGTTTCTGGCAGCCTTTGGGCAGCACTTGATTAATTTCAGGGTGGTATGCAAGAATTTTGGCTTGTACTGTATATTATGAATACGCTGAATGAACCCAGACCATCTCAGATGTCCGCAGCACCAGCACGGTACACTTATAATCTATTTTGTGAAAAAGTACTCTGGGTTCATGCTATTTTAAGTCCTAAATAATTCCAAATATGATTGACCATTACAGTTTACTATACAAAAATGTTATGCAACTACTCTACCTTTCAAAAGTTTAGGGTCAGTCAGATGCATCAAAGCTCAACAAGGCTTCATTTATTTGACCAAAAATACAGTAAAAACAGTAAAAATGTGAAATATTTCTACAATTTAAAATAAATGTTCTTTATTGTAAAATATTTTAAAATGAAATTTATTCCTGTGATGGCAAAGCTGAATTTTCAGCATTACCCCAGTCGTCAATGTCACATGATCCTGCAGAATTAATTCTGATTTTCTGCTCAAGATTATTATCAATGTTTAAACCAGTTGTGCTGCTTAATATTGTTGTGATACTTTTTTTTTCAGAATTCTTTGATGAATAGAAAATAAAAAAAGCATTTATTTGAAATAGTAAGTAAGCTTAGTAAAAGTCTTTACAGTCACTTTTGTTCAAATTAATCAATGTATTAATTTCTTTCGAACCAAAAAAATCTTTCTTTGTTTATTTGAGCATCTGGGTTCCACAAACTTTTATAACTTTTATAGTTATTACCCCAGACCTCAATTCCATAAGTTAAGTATGGTAAAATAAGACTGGAATACAATATATACAGAACCTTGTAATTTAAAACGTACTAAGCTTTGTAAAGCAAAAAGAAAAAAGACTGACCTTTAACTTTTAAACATGCACATTACACTGGAACACAAATGTGAATAGGAAATTTCACATTATTGTTAATGAACAAGCACAGAAGCATATTTAGTAGACCCTGACCCAACAAGTCGACTACTGTAATAACAGAACTATTGGACTTGGTGGTGCATCCCTACCGCAAAGCATGATGGGAATGTGTTTCTACTCTAAACAAACTGATCTAAACCTTAGTAAATCTTAAACATGCTTCTAGTTAAAGGTAACTGCATGCTCGCTGGTTCCGTGTCATTGTTTGTTTCTCTTTGTGTGTGTGAGAAAAATACTCACTGGTTCTACAAGGTGAATACTCAGCATAGGCACTGAAGTTCTGCACAGCCACATAACAGGTTCCCACTGGATCCATCTCACTGCTGACCTTCACTGTCCTCCAGTGATAGAGGGGAGCACAGGCCTACAGAAACACACAAGCACCACGTTACTGTAAATAACAGCCCTGATAGATGTAGGTCGAACGTAAAGATGTTCCATGGGACTGAGCTGAAAAAAGTCTTTCTTGTGTAATTTTCTGAATAAAAACATTTAGTACAATGTTAAACGTTTTAGTATTTGATCGTTTGGAGAACAATAGTCACATTTGGGCACAGTGCCTCCCCTCATGTAAAAACTCTGGCCAATTTCTTTCAAACATCAGCAGTTCTCCACCTCACATGGTCAACCTCAAATCAACATTTTCCAAAACCCCCTCAGTAACGGGACAGAGCCACATTGCCTATCAAAACATTTCCACATAACAACACTCCCGTGCATTCATGAACGAAACTCTGATTCTGGCACCCATGCATTCATGAATGAAACACTAATGCAGTGCTATTAAATAACATTGCCCTCTTGATGGGCAGTTATATTGCAACCACATCTATGAACGCACAGAAGCATGCTTCCAGCATGAGGATGACTGAAAATGGTCTTTAAATGGGTTAGGTTCCTGAGCATCACTTACCACCACTTTGCCTTTATGAGTCCTGACTGTGGCTCCAAACCACTGATAGGATTTAAATTCAAGAGGCTCCCGTGTCCCATTCACTTTAATCATCCTGTTATCTGGACAAAAGAGAGAGGAAGAATGAAAGTCAACAAAAAACAGAGAGAGGGACTTACTTGTCTGATAAACAGAAAACATCAGGCAAACTTATGCCACTCACTTTCGAAAAATATGAGCCATGAAACAGCAAATTAGCCTGGCTTCAAATGTGTGTTTGTTTATGTGAAGGCAAATCAACAGGGAGTGTAAACACAAGCACATGATTCTGTGGATCTGTTTCTACAGGGGTTCAGTGCGATCCAGAAAAGATCCAGTTACAGCTGTGCCTGTTTAGAGCTCCATAAGGTACAGTCTACACCTCATAAAAACACATCAACTTTAATACTTCTCTGATTTCTTCTCGCTGTCTCTCAGGCCTTTACTATGGGCCTTTTTCTTCATGCTAAATGTAATTCATATACTCAAGTAACAAGATTTTGCAAATTTTTGTAAATAATTTTCTCTCTATCTTTAAAGGGATACTCCACTTTTTTTGGAAATAGGCTCATTTTACAACTCCCCCAGAGTTAAACTGTTGAGTTTTACCTTTTTTGAATCCATTCAGCCGATCTCCGGTTCTGGCGGTGCCACTTTTAGCATAGCTTAGCATACATCATTGAAGTGGACAAGACCATTAGCATTTCTCAAAAAACAAAATGACCAAAGTGTTTCGATATTTTTCCTATTTAAAACTTGACTCTGATAGCATTCTCTCAGCACAACTTGTCTTAGTTCAGTGAACTGTCAGAGTTACCGGAGTAACATATTGGTTTATTTCGAGTCGGAATGACTGTCAGGGCATTTAGAAAACTGTGGACCACCGCCGACTCACAACGCAAACTGTTTTGAGTTATTCATTTCCGTTTGGTGAACTGGTTTGACCGGTTCACTAAAAAGAACAGGTTCAAAAGAACGGTTCGTTCACAAACCCATCACTACCATTGACACGTCACGGAGCAATATGAGTTGGAGATGTGTGTTCGGTTGCTCAAACGCTTAAGTTTTATTCTGTTTATAAAACTGTACATTGGTTAAGAATGAAATGGCTAGAATTTATTCACACCTCTACTTTTGAATCCAACGCATGTCAGTGCTCAGATTCGCTTCCACGGTGCTGTCAAGTACGAAATGTACACTGTGAGGTAAACTAAACGCTATTAGCTATTTGTAAAGGGGGAGGAGCCATTAAATATGTCCTGCCTTAGCTTCCTGTTTAAGTTGAAATTACGACAATGCCTCACACAAAGCTACGTGTTTCCAAGGCACTTCAGTGGACCGTTGGAATCGTTTAAAGCCCTTTGAACAGTTTGCAGTTTGTACTGAAACTGTCTTTTGGACCTTGAACAGTTTGGTTCCCATTGAAGTCCTGGAATGTTTTCATCAAAAACCTTAATTTCTTTTCGACTAAAGAAAGAATGACATGGATATCTTGGACATGGGGGTGAGTAAATTATCAGCAAAAGTTTTTTTTAAAAGTGAACTACTCCTTTAAATCATGCAGCCCGGTCTGCAACTTTATGATACCAATACTGTACTTTTACAAGAATTTGATTTGCAATATTCACCTGCCAATACAATTCTAGACCTGAGCCATATCCAAGTCTTGGGTGCACAGTTTTTTTTTATGACTTGGGATAGCCAAACTGCACAAAAACACCTTAGCAACCAGCAAAATCCACAAGAAACAGCATAGCAATGGTCTAGCAACAATCCAGAAGACATTATTACCTGCACAGCATGACATAGCAACAATCAACAACACTACAGTAACCACATAGCAAATATACCTTGGGAACCTCATTAAACACCCTAGTAACACCAAGAACACCTTAGAAACCACATGGCAATACCCTAGCGACCACAAATCAACACTTTAGCATGACAGCTGGGACTTTTGCAGAGGAAAAGCACCACTACAATGTTCTATGCAAAGTTGTATTTATTGTTATTGCGTAAACGTTTAGCTACAATTTGTGCGTGTTGATAGGTTTTACACACGTGTGATCAAGCTGTATTGTAGGAAGTTGTTGTTGCTGATGGAGATTAGCAAACTGGATTAACAAAACAACTGTAAATAGACAAACATGCACAAAATCTTAATCCAGACATGCTCATGCAGTACTATTTGCAATTCATAAACATAATGATACTTTTCAAAATCAAAAGTATAAAACAGGCCAGAAAAATCAGGACATCCTTTTTTAAAATGAACACATGTTCTGGTGTCACACACTGTGCTAAAATGCAAGGTCAGACTGATAATATAAAACACAGCAGGGCATCCCTTGGTGCTTTAGAACATCTGTTTCATTTTTGGGTCCAAAATGCATGCTTGTAATTTTTCTTTTCATTTTATGCATTGATATATATTTGTTGTAAATGATTCCTGCAGTTATGAATGAAAGCTCCTATAATAATTAAAACTGTGATCGTTGTAAACGTAAATGACCTGTGCAGCTAATAAGAAAGTCTTAAAGGGTTAGTTCACCCAAAAATGAAAATTCTGTCAGTATTTACTCACCCTCATGTTGTTCCAACCCCGTAAGACCTTCGTTCATCTTCGGAACACAAATTAAGATATTTAAGATATTAAGTTCGCTCCTGCATACAGTCCATAGGCTTCTTGAGGGACTGGCTCTTGCTGTCCTCGAAAAGTCATTAAAGACATTGTTAAAATATTCCAAGTGACTACAGGGGCTCAATCTTAAGTTTATCAAACGACGAGAACACTTTTGTGCGCAAAAAAACAACAAAAATAACGACTTTATTTCAACTATTCGTTTATTTCTCCCTCTGCGCGAGTCAGGTTACTAGTTTAATAGCGTAAGCTTCTGTTATTGTACGTCACACGCATCACACACACATGACCAGCGTCGGCCAATAGTGAGCCTACGTGTGACGTAGCTCTACGCAATCACACTACGTTAACTGACTTACAGGCTCATGTAGAAGGAAGTGAATAGTTGAAATAAAGTCGTTATTTTTGTTGTTTTTTTGCGCACAAAAGTGTTCTCGTCGTTTGATAAACTGTCAAAAGTACCTCAAGAAGCCTATGGACTGTATGCAGGAGCGATCTTAATATCTTAAATATCTTAATTTGTGTTCCGAAGATGAACGAAGGTCTTACGGGGTTGAAACAACATGAGGGTGAGTAAATACTGACAGAATTTTCATTTTTGGGTGAACTAACCCTTTAACATGCATATTCACTTGTCTCAGATATTACAAATGTAATACTACAATTTACCTCGAATATGTTAAATGTTCTTGCTGTAAGACCACTAGAACACCTGGACATAACTATGAAGTTGTGTGCGAGAGAATTGTGTGAAAACTTTCAAGACAAGGTCCTGTGGTAGATGACCCTATCTGGTGTATCTGATGAATTTACTCTTCTCAGTCAGGACTGTATTAGTCACACACACACACAGACTGTCATCAGAAACGTCAGTCGCACAAACACATGCCATGCCCCCCATGGAGATCTCTAAGAGTCACAGTGGGAAGAGTGCACAGGATCACAGGTCAAGTGTTTAAAAAAAAAAAAAAAACGTGACTAATGAATCTGGAAACGTGTGTGTTCTGAAAAGATGTTCTTGAAGAAGTACATGCTGGAAATTAATGACACCAATTGGAATCTGATCTAATAATAATTGACTGCCCACAATGTGTATCGCAGTGCTACGCCAAAAACAACAACCGCAATATGGAGGGTTTAGCAGTAAAGATGATGTTGTCTTATTTACAACATGACAATGTGTAGACACTGGATTATTGTGCCTTCTGAGCCAGACACAGAAACGTATATGAGGCTGTTATGCGCAGCCTAATTCCACGCTGTTGTCTCTGCCGGTTTCAAAAAATGTCTCCGTTGCATTGTTATTTTCTGCTCGTCCGGTACTTTGTAACTCAACCTTGTTTCTGCAATGACTTCAAACATGTTTCCTATAACATCATCTGGCTTGAGAAAGTTACATAAACCACGCAGAATCCGATCAGACTGAAACTGATTTCCAGAAATGAGATGTGAATAGGATTTTATACCATTGTGAATGTAGCTCGAAGCGAATTTGTAAAAATTGCATTTCATGTTATTTTTCGCCGTTCTCACTTGCTCTGATCCTGATTGGATTATAATCGGATGTGCACAAAAAAACAGATTTGTGCAGCCAATATAAAAAAACAAAGACGATGATACTAAAAAAGAGAGCAGAATTTATCTATGACACGAACCCTCATGTTTGTACCGATAGAGCTGTCATAGTTGAGTACATGAGTTCTGACTTTTGACATCACTGTCCTTCCACTGACTACTAGACTTCCCAACTGTATTGATAACGTTGGGTATGTAAAATCTTTGAAGTAACTCTTATGAGTGCAGAAATGTGACAAATGTGGATCTAGAGTGACGCAAAAGTCGCATGAATTCCGATGTTTAGACTGAGGTCGCATTGCAAAACATTACACATACACATTTCAGTAATAAAACAGTAATAAATAATCAATAAAAAAAATCTAAAAGTACTTTCATCAGTTATTCCAAAGCTAAATCTATTCAAACATCAATTTCATTTTTGTAAATATTACGGATTATCTAATTCAATGTGTTTGAATGCTAAACATACTGTACAGAAGACAGTAGATTTTTTTTAGTAGTAATTTTGAAGAAGAATTTAATCCAATAAAAATAACTGGTTTATAAAAAGTGATTCATTTGTGTATGCAACACTTTTGTGCTCTGTTATTGATGCACTAATACAAGTAATTAATTCACACTCTGCATTGCATGTTCTTTATTCACTAAAGAGAACCGGCTCATTTGATTCATTTGTTCGCACCATGTTCTTCAAGCACTATTATATTGAACCGACTCACATACGAGTCATTCGCTTGAGAATCGGACCGCATAGTCGCGCGTGGTTCTTTAACTTTATTTAGTCAGAGGTCATGTCATGGCCTATTCTGATAAGAGCCCATGTTAGAACCAGCAACAGCACACAAATACTGCCATCAAATCCCCACAAGAGAATGCTTTGAATAGCCTAACAACACATCAGCGCTCACATTCCGCTGCATCCAAGTCTGTCTCAAGTCCATGCCGCGTTTCTGAGTCCAAAACCGACGGCTGCATTTACCGGCAAGCTAGCCATGGTTACTTAAAATAGTCCAATAATATTATGACTATGAACTGCCCTGCAATCTCAATCACAGTCACAGGTTACGTTACAGAATCGATCTAAACGTTGACACCAATCTTTCCCTTTCTGTCACTTCACTGTTGCACAATTGCTGACACATCACCTACACCTTTTCCCTCACTATGAATTAGACGAATATAAACAGCACAAATGTACCGTGAAATAATGAACGAAGATATTCAAACGTAAAGATAACATGTTGGTGACCTAAAGAATAGACGCGCGCAATGCACGTCGAAATTAAGGCATAGCCTACACGCTGAGGTAAAGTTGCGCGCCTTTCTCTGGTAATTACTTCGCTCCTGAAATGTTAAACCAAACCATATGCGGTGAAATTAACTCTTTCTTGGATGTGGTTTTTGATCTTTTTATTAGAGGAAAGGGAATTTATGAAGCCTACTCTAAATATGGTGCTTAAAACAGAAAATATGTTTTGATAAATACGATAAACAATAACATATAGTATGTGTTTTTAGGTTATTTGCACATCATTTTAACTGTACAAGTTTAAAATGAATGTGTAAAAGGACATAAAAAAACATTATTATAACTCAAAGGGCCACCCTGTTTGCTCATGGTCATTTTACATTAAGGGTTATAAATCATGAGGCTACCTACTTGCTTTATCAAAGGGGATCTGGCGGCAGGAGTCTGGGTCTGATGCCGGCCAGGGACAGTAGTACACCGCTCCTCCCTCCACAATCCCTGGCTGAGAGGTGTTCGCTTTAGGAGCCCCAACCAGCACCGACATGCTGGAGAGAGAAAGGAATAAATCTACGCACAAGTGCATCCTAATACTGAATCACAGTGATACACTTACAAGTGACAATATGAACCCCTGAAAAGTTAAATGTGAGGTAGCATTAGTCCAGCATTTCCATTTAGCTTACTTCACATGAACTTCTGGCGCCTATAAGATTAGTGGTCCATATTGGTGGTGCTGAAAGTTTTCATAAAAGCTGTGGCAAATGTCACGAACATTGTAGGCATAACCAAACTACGTTATGCGAAATATAGCCTACTGAAAGTTGCGTCTGTTTGGGAGCTTGACAATTTTATAGGCTATACAAAAATTATATAAAAAATGTTTATCCCACTTACGCTTTTCTGTCCAGTGTTGGCTGGTAAAAGTCCAGTGAGTATCCAAAATAACTTCCTTCTGGTCCATTATAAACCGTTGGCTTTTCTAAATCTAGATTAAAAGCAGCAGCTTCACAAAAAACTAAAAATGTGAGCAAAAACCCACGAGAAAACACGAGGAATAAACACGGGTGCATGGCTCCAGCCCAGTTTCTTCAAATGTAATCCAAAAGCTTTGAATAAAGATGGTCAGAGAGAATGTTATGTCCGTGCTCAGCTGTCATAAGTTGAGTGTGTGCTGCTCTCCATCTGTCTGCTGCTGCCTTCATGCAAACCGCACACGAGTCTGCGCGCGCTCTCTGCGTACTAAACATTATAATGAGCTGCGCACGAGACCGGACTCCTGCACCACATCACACACCATCCGGCCAACTCCTTTTATGGAGACACACACATAATATGAATTTGCACACAATTTAGACGAAAATACACTATTGCGAATATTATTAATAGTATTCGTTTTATACACATTATTATTGGTTCCACTTTAGACATTCTACATGAGTAACTTTGCAACTACATGTCAGGCTACTCAGTAGAATATCTGTTGGAAGCATCAAAACAAAGTGTTCCCAGACAAAGCAGACAGTACTAATACTCTAACGAAAGCGGACATGTAGTTGCAAAGTTACTTTTAGTTAGTAGAATGTCTAAAGTAGACTATAAAAATAAAGTGTTATTATTTAAGGTAATTAAGCTACTTCATATTTGTCAAAATAATTTACTTATTTTGACGTAGCATCAAATATATACAATTCTCAGCTCTCTCATATCCACTCCCCTAAAGGACCAATCACATGGCAGTTGCTTCAATGCATTTAGAGGTGTGGTCCTGGTCAAGAAAATCACTACAAACTGAATGTCAGAATGGGAAAGAAAGGTGATTTAAGCAATTTTGAGTGTGGCATGGTTGTTTGTGCCAGACGGGCCAGTCTGAGTATTTCACAATCTGCTCAGTTGGGATTTTCATGTACAACCATTTCTAGGGTTTACAAAGAATGGTGTAAAAAGGGAAAAACATCCAGTATGCGGCAGTCCTGTGGGCGAAAATATCTTGTTGATGCTAGAGGTCAGAGGAGAATAGGCCGACTGATTCAAGCTGATAGAAGAGATGAATATATATGCACTGTACACGCACGCACACACACAGAGAGAGTCTTTATATTTTTTTATAATCTTTTATTATTAAAAAATAATTCTATAAAATTAAAATCCTATTAACTATAAAAACTATAAATCCTATTAAAAATAATAGCAATGACAAATATTATTTATAAAACCTTTAAATAAAATTTTTTCAACATTAATATTCCCATATTATTTGGATAAAGTCGTTTCAATTTGTGTCAAACTTACTGCGGATGTTTTTAATTACGCAATTTAAATGAACGGTAATTATCCTCTTCAGACGTCCAAAATTAAACCTTTGTACGAAGTGCGCGATAAGTATTACCTCTGGAAAATAAACGGTGCGGGTGTTTTTAAGAGAATCTACAAATGTGCATCGTTCTTGACCCGTTTCCTTGGAGCAAATCTAAATTTAGGTGCTCTTCACATCTGAGCGCAAGACACAGGCTGCTTCTGCTCTCCATCTGGCTGTCAGAGTTTTAATCCTGTCTAAATGAAGTCATTCCCTTTACCGCCTATCCTGTGATCACCAAACAGTCCATTCCAAGTTCCAACTGTAAACGATCTCACACTTTCGAGAAAACCACTCAAAAACACGGAAATTGCCATGGGGTGCATACCATGTGGATATTATTATTGCTTTACATGTTAAGTATGATAATATAATAAAATAGTGACTTTTTTATATACATAGTATCCAAAAGAACACACCCTTTATAGGGAGATTCAGTGCCATTTGGGGCAGGGCCACCGACAGGTCTTGGGCTGTGTGCTTTCTTGTGGTGCCAACCAATCAGTTCATTTTCATTTAAAAATTATATTGCAGAAAAGATAATACAAACTAGTTAGTGTCATGGGTGAGGTAGTGCTGTGAGCACTCTTGAGCTGATCCTCTACACGTGTCATTCTTTTCCCTTTATATGCAAAAAAATCTCATAATGAAAGAAACTATACATTTCACAAACTAATACGAACAATAACACATGGATGAATAAATTATAGTTTATTTAGAATGTACTTAGTAATCAAACATCATTATAAAACATCTAACCTGTTCTAATAAATGAAACAAAAGGTTGATTTTACCTGATCAGAGCAGCAAAATTGATTTGAATTCTTAATATTTTGGACATGTTCCCATCTGGCTTTAGATCACTACATAGCACCGAGTCAGCTCTGTTGAGGGTTACAAATGATATCTTGCTTCCTCTGGATTCAGGCTCTTGTGTTGTGCTGGTTTTGTTGGACCGGAGCGCTGCATTTGATACCATTGACCACAACATTCTTCTTGAACGGCTAGAATGTATGGTAGGTGTCAAGGGCACAGTATTACAATGGTTTGCTTCCTACCTCAAAAAGAGGACTTTTTCATTAAATTTACGAAATTTTTCCACTTCATCTGCTCCTATTTTGTTTGGTGTGCCCCAGGGATCTATTTTGGGACCTTTATTGTTTTCCCTTTATATGCTCCCTTTGGCTCTCATTTTCAAAAGTACATCACCTCAGATCACTGTTATGCAGACGATTCTCAGCTTCACCTTCCAGTAAGGCTTGACACCACTGCTTTATTCGATGTGTTGGAACGTGTAGATGATATCAAGAGGTGGATGACAAATAATTTTCTGCAGCTAAATGAGGATAAAACGGGTTTTAAATCTGGGTTGTCCAGCAGATTCCTCTCCTGCGCTGAAAGCCCAGTTATGTCCTCTTTCGACAAATGTATGCAAACAAATCAAAAACCTTGGAGGGATCTTTGACTCTTCATTCATTTTTGATAAACAAATTAGTGCTATTATTAGAGGAAGCTTTTTCCATTTAAGATCTATTGCAAAGTTGAAGAACGTTTTCACTCAAAGATTTAGAAGCATTTATAACATCTTGATTAGACTATTGCAATTCTCTTTACTCTGGCCTTCCTCAATCTTCTTTATCTCGATTACAAATTGTCCAAACTGCAGCTGCAAGACTGTTGACTGGGTCTAGAAAGAGGGATCATATTTCTCCTGTTCTGGCACCCCTTAACTGGCTTCCCATTAAGTTTAGAGTTGATTTTAAGATCCTGATGCTTGTTTATAAGGCGTTGTCTGGCTGTGCATCAAGGTATATTTGTGATCTTATTGTGCCATACTGTCCTGCTAGGACACTTAGATCTTCAAATCACTTGCTTTTAAATGCGTCACGATGTCTCTACAAATCAAAGGGTGATCGGGCCTTTTCTGTGGCTGGGCCCAAGCTTTGGAATGCTCTCGCGTATCATGCGAGGTCTGCTCCTTCATTGGATATTTTTTAAAGTCCCCGTGAACCGGAAGTTGCAAACGACTTTTCTCCAGTGTTGTGACGTATTTCCGAGAGAAACGGAATACTAAATGAGGCAAAATAGTGGGCGTGGCTTTTTTTCCAACTAGCACCTGATTGGATCTAGAAAAATGGGTGTTTCATTCTGAAATGGAGGATGACGCAAGTTTACACACGCTGTCAATCAATGCTCGCTCGGCGCTCGCAAACACATAGCAGCTGTCAGTTGGAGGGGCGTGGTTATGGATGTTAAGGAGACACCCAAACCGTAAAGCCTACGTCATCGGGCAAGGTCCTCCAATGCAGAGGGGAGGGGCATTTTCAAAATTTAATTAAAGATTACGAAGCCAAAAAAATTTTTTTGTGTGGATTGACTTGCATGTATGAATTGTTCACCACAAAACGATCAATTTAGGCAAACAAAGTAAGTATGGTCAATTTTGATTTCATAGGGACTTTAAGACCCCGTTTACACGAAGGAAAAACGCAGATATTTCCCTGCGGATTGGCCTCTCGTTTACACGAAAACCCTGTTTTTATTACAGAAAACGATTATTTCTAAAAACTCCGGCCAAAGTGGAGATTTCTAAAAAACGCCGATTATGTGTTGTCGTGTGAACTGGGAGAAACGGCGTTTAGGTTCTCTCTTGACGATTCTGATTGGCTTGCATGGCTTTATCCATAACCCTACACTGCCACCAATAGGTTTGGCATAGTTATGATGGCGCTCGACGGCGTATTTATGCGGGTGGGTGAACGACGTTATTTTTGAAAACGGAAAGGGGGAAAATATCCGTTTTGCTAAATACCCGGCTTTGTGTAAACGTTGCCTAAATCTACTTTGAAAACACATTTTTATTCTTTAGTACCTGTATTTTTTTATTTATTTTTATAGTGTAGTCCTGCTATGCACTATGTACAGCACTTTGGATCAATTTTATTGTGTTAAGAGTGCTTTATAAATAAAGGTTGTTGTTGTTGTGATCTTCCAAAGATAAAAAAAAAACACCCAAAAGTATAGACCAAAAGCACTCCACAGTAGAACTAGCAAAACATGTCCTTACATAGCTACTGTTGAGATAATGTATGACTTTGGCTCTCTCTCAAAGAAAACCAGGTGAAATACATAAAACCCGCCACAGCAGTGCACATGCATCAGCAAGGACTGAAGAGCTCCTCTGCTGGCCTTTTTTGGGTTCTGGTGAAGATTATTGGTGACAATCTTAGATATAGTGTTGTTTGTGCAAGCCAGGACTAAAAGCATGATGATTTGATTCTGCACGAACAATAATGGGTTCAGTATTGGATCTTTGGTGATTGTCGTCATCGCTCTGTCTAATAAAACACACTCACAGTAGTGAGTCGATACCCGCTTCTCTTCACAAAACCGACGTTTTTAGCTCGGCTGCCTCTGAAGTCTTTTTTGTAAACATCGAGAAGGGTTAATCTCTAACAGACAGATTTGAAGAAAAATAATAGATTACGCATGGTCCATGTATTGTTCTTTCATTTCAGGAGGAATGAGAGAGCTGGAGAACATTCTCTGAATTCCCCTCTAAGGCTCTGAGAGGCAAAGAGCCAGATAGACTCTTTATCTCACTGTCCAGAAACAACTGGATGTCAAATCAAGGCTCACAAGTTTAATTATGTGCATGTCATCCAACGACTAGTTGACCTGCATCATTGATTTTACTATTGTTTGAAAAGCAGAAATATCATGACATAAATTGCATGGACGGTCTGACATCAACCCAACTTTTGCCACTGAAACCTAGAGTAACTTTTTTGCACTTGTTAGCAGACTGAGGTGTTTGATTTGCATTACGTGTTTTGTTTTAAAATTTGATTAAAAGCTTTATCTTAGTCGCATCTAATTACAAACTCCTTTCTTTCTGCATGGGTTACTATTACACATTATTAGCAAACTCCAGATGTGTTTTGTATGGTTCTTCAGTAACATGGCCCCATCCTCTCATAGAGATCAGTGTTCATTAAAGTTCTTTATATGATGGAGTTTGTATGCTATGTCAAACCTAAATGGGCTCTTCCTAACAATTGAGCCACATACAGTATTTGGATATCATTTAAAGATCTTTTGCATTTGTTTTATTCTAGCTTTTAATCTTATTCAGTCACATTCACTACAACCAGACTTATTATTCAAACAAATAATCATTAGTATAAGAGGACAATCACATTTCAATTAAAAAAGGAGAGAACTTAAAAAACAAATCTAAATACTTTCTATTTTACAGATGACACTTTCTATTTCTATTTTATTGACGTTTTGAAATAAACCATCCCAAAATACTCTCTCCTCCACATTTTCTCTTCATTTATAAAGATTTCTTGAACTTTTGTTCTGCCAAGAACTGATAAACGCTGGCTGAAACTTATAAAACCCTCCATGTTTTCATATTCCAGACAGACATCAATATTAGTGTCACCTAACCAAGAATAGAAGCACCTGTCAAACACCCGTTTGTGTTGATAATAAGTCATTATAATATATATACACTTGTCTTGGATTGGCTGGAGTGATATAAAACCATGGTGAGCCGTAACAGAATCCCTTACGTTGACCACTTCATAATGTTTACGCATTGATAACTAGTGTCCTCAACGTTTACATCATTTTATCTAAGATTGTTTATGATGACGCAACAAATGTCTGATAGCTCCCAGCCGACCCAGGCCCACTGATATTCTTTAAAGCCAAAATTTAGCTGGAACTACGCACACATAAAGACTTCAATAGAAACATTCTGGCAAATAAAAGCCTAGTATCCTGTATTCTGCATCTTGTTTTGAATTTATTTTCTCTGCCATTGAATATTGGTTGTTTGATCTGGCGCCAAGTCACTAAGAGCTTAATGAAAAATTTGGTTCCACTAAATGTCGCTTTTATTTCTTCCTGTAATAACATGGAATTTGGGCAAGTCACTTGGCCCATGAAAGATGTGTTCCATATGTCACATGCACCCTTAGTGGTAACGTTTTTAATTATCTGTCGGTCTGACCTTTACAGAGGAAACCAGAGGAGCTTGATCTGTGACCTTGAGGATATTATGGGCCACAACGATCACATCCTGTGACATCAAATTTATTTGATGGCACAATCTTAAGCCCAAATCTGATGTAAACCTCTGAAACCAGTCAAAACACAGTTTTACTGCGAAGTAAAAAAAAAAAAACAGAGAATATATCCCCCTCAAAAGTTTATGATGGAACGGATCAAAAGGCAAAGTAAACTAATAAACAGCTTTAGTGAAGAAAAGCAAAATTCACTAAGCAACTTTTGACTTGAAGGTCCCCACAGTCCAAAACGTATTCAAAGTCCCCTTAAAATTAAATATGCTATCAAATGAATATATAAATAATAAATAAAAAATAATAAAAAATAATAATATATATATATATATATATATATATATATATAGTTGAGAACCACTGAGATATATATATGAAACATTTAAATATGCTATATGAAATATTAAATAAATATATAAATATATGAAACATTTAAATAACTCAAATTTAAGTAAAACAATAAAATATAAATAAAATATAATTAAAATTAATAATAAAATATAATATAGCATAAGAGCACAAGAAAATAGTTTATTGAATGCATATATATATATATATATATATATAAAATTTACTACAGATTCAAATACCCTTCCATATACTTTACCCTCCATACAACATATCACTTACCTAATCGGTCACTTACCTGCAGTTTTTGATAACAGCAGAAGTAAAGCAATTTTCCTATAGTAGACAGTTACCATGCCAGGAAGTTCAAGTCAGGATCCACTACTGCTGCCCCTAAAGACAGCATAAGAAAACATGAAAGACATTCTGATTGAAGGTTAGAGATTACCAAAAATAAAAACATATACAAAATTAATAAAAATAATGTGCAAGAAAATCTTTCAGTTATCTTTCGGTCAGGAACATTTAATCTTATACAAAACAAACACACCACAGTCCAGATGTGAAGAACAAAAGTGTTTATTTTAGTGAACCTTAAAGATCAGAATAAATAAAGGGTGAGCGTTTGCCTGTGTTATTCTTCCCTCTCATGCAGAGAATCATAGTGTCATTCCACAGTACCTCCTGGAGGGTTGCTACTTCAAACTTTAAATAATAAAATTGCCTTATTCCTCCACTATGGTTTGGTGCCCAGCATGGGGTTGTAGTGCATTCTTTTATAATCCTGCCTAAACAGACTTCCTCTCAGGACCGAGTGCCGCAGAACATGGCCGCTCCTTAGCTGACCATTAACAAAACACCGATACTTTGTCCAAAAAGAGGCTTTGGTCAAATAATCCCTTAAATATTCACAACTGCCAACACTGAAAAAAAAAAAAAAAAAAAAAATATATATATATATTTATAATTCCATAAATTACTAATAAGATCATCACAGTTGACGTGCTAATTCAAAGATTTATCATTTCAGACAAGTAAACAAAATCATGTACAAAGTTGACAAAAATAATAAGAAAACCTGATGCAAATGCAAATACATTTGGTATACACAACAGATGACCCCCCCTCACACCCCAAATATGTTCAATCCTTTCAAATCCAAGGCTTTAAACACAAAAACAGCCTTATAATCAAGCCGGTTGAGATGTGTAAAAAGCAAACAATAGGCGTTGTGTGAGTGCCAGGCGAACAGCATCGTCTCTCGTTTGAACTTCAGGCCGCATGTTGGCCTTTCTAAATGCAGTGCCGAGAGAGTGAGGAGTCCTATGAGCGTTCCTGAAGTCAGCGGGCTGTGCAGCCAGAGGTTGGCAGGTGAAAAGTGAGAGATAACGGTTAATTTAGGGAGGGTGACCTTTCTGTGGTCCACAGGAGCTCGATGTAGGGCCATTTGGTCAGTAGACAGCGCTTGATTGGAGTGTCGTCTGTACGTACCATGGGGTCCTCAAAACCCATGACCAAAGCAGTGCCCTCAACATAACTCACCTGGTGGAGAGAAACACAAGGGGTGAACGCGAAACACATTGGCATACATCCAGTCAACTTCCTGACCTTCTAAATAAAACCTGGTTGCGTTTCTGGAAATGCCAGGGTTTCTCTCTCTGTATGTGTCTCATTAGAGACCTGGCCTCCTGCTATGACATCATCAGACATAAGACAGTCGATGACTTCCATATGGAGGGCGTCATATTGCCAGGAAGGAATCTGCCCTTGACAAAATGTCACGATAAACATGCACCCTCATTTTTATCAACATTTTGTGTTGCTGTTATACATTTTTACCCAAGTGAAACCTGTAAATCCATTCACTTATATAAAGGCCTCATGTGTGTTTCACAAGGTATAATAGCACAGTATTGAGTATGATGGGAGATCCATTGACTCCTGTTGACCTTTAAATCCAGGAGTTAAGCTTCGTTGTCCACAATCATCAAGACTCAGAGACATCCCTTCACACAGAGACAAACTCACCAATAAACTTTTTTTTTTTTTTGCCTAAAAGAATTGAGTAAAAGGCATAAAGCTCTACGGCACTCCCTCTGGTGGTAGCCACAAACATCTCTCCACCAACATTACCAGTCCATTATGTAGTGAGGCTTAGACATGCTGACAGCACAAATCTCTGTTCAAGTCACTGGGAAGCAGATCACACACTTGCAAGACTCCACTTGTCATTTTTCTTCTAAATGGCCAACTAACCTCTGATCAACCCTGTTTCAGCAAAAAAGTTGCTTTTGTCATCAACCATGAGCGTTGCATTCATCGGTTTTCCCAGAGTTAAGAGCACAATCCATCAAAACAAACACATTGCTCTTGGTAACTACAGAGAGACAGATTGATTAAAGAGTGCAAAAGCAGCAAATAGGCAGGTGTAGAAAAGGATGTTGAGGGATGATCTTTTGAACTTAAGCTTTCAGATCTGAACTTTGAAGATCTGAGAGTGCAGCTTACTATACTTCTACTATACTTCCATACTTTTCAAGCAGCCCATTTTAACCCCACCCGCACCATTCTTCATTTTACAACTGTACTCTAGCTTTTGACAGTAGAATACAGCGGAAGGAAGGGTGACATCTTCTAGCTGACTATACTCTAAACTATAACCAGCCATTTCCAGGCCCAATAAAACGCTACAGTACATCTTGTTTGAAGGCAAACATTCATCATGGCTACCAGTCAACTGTGATCATGTGGAACAGTGAGGTTATCCATGTTAGTTAGAACATGCCTTTCATAAAACTTGTCAACACTCTTTGTATGTTTACTTGAAATAATCCAAATATTTCCACTAGCCTGACAGATCTCATGTTTCGAGTTTCTTGTTGTTGGCATATTCACCTGAAGATAATAGTCTACTGTTGGTCAGCTTGGCTTTGTGTTCAGTTATGTCTATATATATATATATATTTTTTATAATATTTCTTTATTTTCTGACTAAAACAAATGCAGATGTGCATAATCAGTCTTACTGTATACACAAGGATTGAATAAAAGAAGTGACTGAGCCAGTACCACATCAAGGACTGATTGGTTTCCACACTTTTTATCAATGAATTTCCAAGGAACAATGATTTTCTGGAGATTGCACTCACATGTTTTGCTGTGCATTTCTAGTTCAGTTTCTAGTTGAGTACAGAATCTTAAATCCGGTGAAAATCTGCAGTTTTCTCTATGGGCAAAGATTCAGTCCTTGCAAACATCTTATGAATGTACACTAAAAGTTTTTTTTATGCTCACCAAGATTGCACTTATTTGATCGAAAATACAGCAAAAACAATATTGTGAAACATTATTATAATTCAAAAGAATAGTTTTCTGTTTTAATATATTTTAAAATGTAATTTATTCTTGCGATGGCAAAGCAGTCTTCAGTGTTGCATGATCCTTCAGAAATCATTCTAATATGCTTGTTTGGTACTTGAAAATGATATAATTTTCAGGATTTTTTGATGTCAAAAGAACTGCATTTACAATGTTTGAAATATAGAAATCTTTGTAACATTATAAATGTCTTTACTGTCACTTTTGATCAATTTATTGCATTCTTGCTAAATCTAAGAATTAGTTGGGACATGAAGCAGGAGTGCTGGAGGAAGACAGAATGAGATCAGATCCCTTTGGATGATTATATGACTTGAGCAGAAGGGAAATCTGGGGTTTGGCTTCAGATGCCAGTATGGTCCGTGTTATGGCCAGGAGCTCCATACATTTGCAAGGTGTTTGGTTCCTGAGAAAGGGCTCCTGTGAATATACGAGTGGCACAGAGGAAACCTCAACAACAAAGGCTACGCATTTTACTGCTTCTGGCTAATGCATTTGCCAGAGTAATGAAGAGTAACCTGTGTGTCCTCGGGGACCTGATGTGGCAATTCCTACCCATTACCCCTTTAACTTCTGTCAATCTCTTTCTCACACACATGCATTTCCGCTAAGAAGCATAGGTCACACACACTCCTTGATAAATGAATGTATGAGGTCGGCGGGGTTCTTTAGTGCATACGGTTGGCATTTTTAAATATCATTAGCACTCTTTTTGGGACATAAGACTGGCATGATAGACGAAAATAATTAACAATGGTAAGAAAAGCACATAAAAGACATGAGACAAGATTAAGTCCTTGAAACAACATCAGAAAATATAATAAAAGAGTCTTTGTTTGTTTTTTTAATTAAAAAAAGATTAAAGATTAAAAAAAATATTAAAGATTAGATTAAATAAAATCAAAAGTTGTAGTACAAAAGTAGTAATAGAATAGTTATGACTTTAATTTTAACAACTGCTAAAAATTTTAACAACTGCTAAAATGTGAACAGCAACAACTTTTCCTTTTAAAAGCAGAAGGTTGAAGGTTTTTCAATTTAATATTGGAGACCTTGAGAACCAATGGAGAACATTATTCAAAATTTTTCTTTTTGTGTTGCACAGAAGAAAGAAAATCTCAATATACTCTGCCCACTGTAGAAAGCTGTCGACACTCGCAGGAAACCCTTGGAACGCTATGGGTTTCGGGAGGCTAAGAGGTCTTAGTGGTGTGGGCCGTATGACGGGGTGGCTCACAAACTCCACATCTCAGGAATCAGACAGGATAAGACTGACCCACCCGCGCTTTAATGCCAGCAGGGGTAATATGTTATTAAAGTGTGCTTGCATGAGCGGCCATTGGAAACAAGCGGAGTGCAATGCGTCTTACCTTCTCATTGTGGTTAGACTGCTTCAGGCCATTATAGTGATACACAGGAAATGAGTCTGGGATCACAGAATCCTGGAAGAGAGAGACGACACGTGTCAGTGCGGACATGTACATCATCAGCTCTGTGGAACATCAGCAAACAGCTCTATGTGTCCTTAAACACTGACATATACTGCCTAGATCTGACTCAATCTATAGGATTTAGGATGCAAGAAAAACATTTCAGTGACTTAAGACAACTTAACCAAAACATCCATTTCCAGCTCAAACACATCACAACACACTACATAAACTCAGACCAGAGAGCCTAAAACAACGGTCCAGTGGATGGTTTTAAATGTAATGACATGCTCAATGCTGACAGCACACTGAAATATACATTGCTTTAAGTCCAAAACAATCACACCCCCCATCCGTGGAGCTGCTGAATAGACTCGATTACAAACCAGAGCCAGAACTCTGCAAACCAACTCAAACTAGCAGCAAAACCCAAGCACACAGTCTTGACAGGAGCCAAATACCTCTGTCTAGCCCCCATACCACATGCCTGCCTTGATGCCAAAACTACAACAGTCGAGTCGAGTGCGTGTATGTGTTTGAGTGGGCCTGAAATAGGGTTAGAGTATTTGATTTGATGGTAAATTGAGACCTTTTTTGTATGTATCCCTAAAGCCCTAATCTATTTAACATAGAGCAGTTGAGCTGCAAGTCCATGCCAACTATAACCGTCAGCTTCTCCCTCTCTCTCTCTGAGGGGCTACACGTACATAGATTTTATCTGGGGCTGATTGTGGGTTTATTTGAACATAATGAAAAAAAAGTAAGAAAAAGCAAACAATGTTGAGCAAGAGCAAGAATCAAGGGTAAGAAAAAAAAAGACAGCAGTGTAGGAGAGTTAGCCCTGTTCCAAAACCAAGTGAGCTGCCTTCATGTCTACAGCCTGCATAGGCAGCATCCTAACCCATAAACTTTATAAGGGATTGACTTTAAACTCCCTACATTGGCTGCAACTCTGAGCACCACACAAAAACTCACACACAGTTGATTCTAACAGAGTTTGATGTTAACATATTACTGAGATAATGGCATATTACTCTAATAGGCTATAATAAATAAATAAAAAATGGTTAAATATAGGTGTATATAGGGCTGTGAATCAAAAATGCAAGAATAATCCAAATGAAATGCATGTCTTTGAAAGAGCAGTTTTCTAGCGTATTATTTACTTTGACTTCTCGGGTATCAATGGTATGACCCATTTTCAATGCGTGAAAATTACCACAACAGTGGTTACATAATATATTACAGTGGTAAAAACATTTTAATTGTCGTTTAATGCCAAGGATAATTCAGTAGTCTAGCGTGTCAATTCTCTTTACGTGGCATGTGTAAGCCTTTCTTTGATTTTGTCTTTAAGCTGTTCAAGCTGACTTGGGCAGGTCATTCCACCAGCAGGGAACAGTCAAGGTAAAGGTCCGTAAAAGTGATTTTATGCCTCTCTGGAATGGCACCACAATGGCACCTCAAATGTTGTAAACGTATTTGAACATTCAGCATAAAAGACAGACAGTACGTGTAATACCTGATCAGGGAAGAACTCCAGCAGAAACTGACCCAACAAAATAATACCCAATCCCTCTGGATCCAGCTTACTCTTCATCAGATTCACACTGAAAGAGAGAGAGAGAGAGTTGGTTAGTTATTGTGTGTGCACACGAATGTTGCATGTTTTCTGCATGTATTGCTCATTGGCATCCTTGGCCAGTAAAAGGCTGTTGTCAAAATTAGCTAGAATCATGAATTATGTTCAGATTCTAAACATATAACAGTGAGTAATGCTTGAAATCTAACTAAAAAAACCTCAGTGAAAACAGGGTAGACTTTTCCATTTAAAGTCATACAGCGAGAGTGATAACATTACTAATGCTTTCCCACACAAACTCAGTAATAAGAGGATGATAAATGCTTTTTCATGCGATCACAGGTCACTTTAACTTACACATAAAAATTGAAACAATAATAATCATTTGCCAAATGCTGATTATGTTGTATGTGGATTCAGAAGAGGCTAAAGCAGGGTTCTGACTTCATTGACACTCGACTAAACTGCTTTAGACAGAACAGGGTGCTGTGTAAAAACAAACACATGACCTAAAATTTATTCTGTCAATTTAACGTTCATGTAACAAACCCTTTGAAAGGGTGAAGTTGTCTTTAAAGCTGCCAAAAGTTGATGTGATTTAATAAAGCAGGTGGTTTGAAACCAATCAGATTTCACTGGGAAGCTGTTTAAGAGGTGAAGGTTTCAAAGAGCTCTTGGTGAGTGGATTTAAATGGGGCTTTAGATGAAGGACCCTTTCTTCATCTTAAGTCCCATTTAAATGAACATTACTCTCTAATTCTCTTCTCTGCTCTACATGAGTCTGAGTGGCATGTGAAGAGTGGGGCATAGAACAAATCTGGTCACATCACATTATGACGCAAATGTCACATGTGTGAATTAAGCAATAAAACACAAGATGACATGCTACATTTGCAAATTACAGCGGTTTACTGCTTTAAAAATGCTTACTGTTTCATTTAAAGAAGCTTCTTATATTTATTAAGGCTATTTCAATTTTAGAATATTTTAAAATTGAATTTGCTCCTGTGATGATAAAGTTGAATATTCAGCACTATTACTACAGTCTTCAGTATAACATAATATGTCAAAATTTCTTCTAATTTGGTGCTCAGGAAACATTTCTTATCACCAACAATGTTTAAAACAAGTTGAACGGCTGAATACATCCAAATATATTAACATTACAAAAAAAACATTTTTAGATAATGACAGTTACTATATTGTGTATTTTAGCACTGCTGGAACACTATACTGACCAATCAGCATCCAGGAATGTAATGATCTGTTTTATAATCAAAAACTTATATATTTACTCGCTCAAACACATATATAAACTTACTAGTCTGGCTCGGAGACGAGATCCAAGGCTTTCATAACATCTTCAAGCAGCGTGTCTGGAATGAACCCATTATCTGAAGATGAGGAGAAAGAGGAAAGAGGCAGATGGTTAGAGCTTCTGAGAGTCTTGATCACCACCCACACAGTCTGCCTGTGTCTTATGCCCAACAATAAACATGAGTTTCATCTCTCTAATCGAAGCCATTCTGCCGACCACGCACACATATGTGCACAAACATGCCCAGACAATGGCTGATAAATAGATGGATGTGTGCTGTATGATGTTTTTCCTCCTCTCTGGTCTCCAAGTGTCAGACAGGATGTTTGCAGAGCAGCTGGTATGCTAAACTCTTTTCCGTTCACTATAAAATGAACTCTCTCCTTCTATTTTCCTGCAGTGACTAGATTAAGAACAATAAACATCTGTCCCACAACATGAAATTAGATACAGTCAGACATTTTGAAGAGTGCGTTAAATAGCTAAAATAATGTCTATATAGGTTTTCACAAAACTTTACTTAAAATGTGATGTACATCTGAGAGAAATAGAATAATCAGTGGGAAATAATGTAGTACAGTGGATTCATTCTGATTTCTGATGCAAAAGTTTCAGAAATTATTCTTTAGAAATGGAATGCAGAATGCACTGAACAACAATGTATAATAAGACAGGGGACATTTATTAGGAGAGTAAACAAGGTTCATTTTGATTTCATGTTGTTTAAGCATTTTAGCAAGCACAACACGATGCAATAGAATGTCACTAAACTGTTACACTGTCAGATGCTTGAGAAATTGTGTTTGAATGTGAAAATGTTTGAAACTGGTATAAACACATCCAAAGTGTAGTTACAGAAACTGAGCTAAAATACACAGGTTTTTTCTCATCACACACACACACACACAGTATTGTTCTTATTAACGCAAGGAACAGGAATGTTGTTTACGGCGCCAAAAGGCAAAAAGATGCCAAGCAAGAACATCTAATCTTGTTCTTGATGACACTTTCAGTGCGTGTTGTAAATTAGATACTTTAAATCAAAACTTTGGAAGACGACTTGCGTTCTCACTCTGACACATTCAGTGATATATAAACACACACAAAACTCTTCTACCTGACATGAGTGCAGTGGGCGATCTCGCTCCAGGTTCTCCTTTATTCTATCAAAAGCCCTCTCTAGCTATTCTACAGTATATATTATCATCAGGAGTCTTATGTTTAATACAAGAGCAATAAATATCAGAGACAAAAAAACTTCAGCCAACAGAATCTAGAAAAAAAAACAACCACTTAACAGGACATACAGGCAAAGATATACTGCACTACAAATGACTAAGGGAACATCAGCGTTTTTTTCCTAAAGCTAGACTGCTGGCTTTGTCATCTGAGCACAATGACTATCTTAAATGATAAATCATCATGTGAGACCTTCCTCCCCACAAATCCTCAGCAGAACTTCAAACAAATAAATCACTGCAGTTCGTTTATCATATATAGGACATATTTGCAGACATTTAGTCTGCAATCATTACTAGAGAGAAAGTCATCAATGGGTTTGTTATGTTAATATTTGTTAATCTGGGGAAAACTAGAAATTGAGATAATATAAAGATAAAAAAAAATTAGTTTTAAAATTTGAAGATTTAGCTAGGTTATGGCTTCCATAAAAAAATGTTTTCAACATTGATAAAGATAGGTAACGTTTCTTGAGCAGCAAATCAATATATCACAAACATTTCTGAATGACCATGTGACACTGAAGACTTGAGTAATGACTACTGAAATATAAAATTTCACAATATTTTTGATCAAATAAAACGTAGTCTTGGTGAGCAAAGGAGACTTCTTTCAGAAACATTTAAAATCTTACTAACCCCAAACTTGTAAGGGCAGTGATTGAACACATAAAAAAAGGTTTCTGCTTGGTGAGAACCTGAGAGGTTAAACATTTTGGTTTGTTTGGGAGCTATAATATCTCTATCAGTATATGCATATTTGTAATTCAGTTAATATGCCAGGATCTCTGTCAAAGATCAATTGTGTGAAATGTCTGGTTTAGTTTGTGCTTTCCATGTTAAGGTTTGGCTTGTCAACTGAAGAATGTTTAAATAGTGGTAGTGAAACCATATGTAGGTGGACGTGAGGGAGTCTGCGAATGTGCATTCTTGTCATTATGACGGATATCTGGCCTTGTGTAAAAAGATACTATGGGAGAATCATCAAAAGAATGGGGGCTTAACCTTATAAACGAAAAATGTAGCCACCGACTTGCATATCTGATCCCCATATATGCTCTCACTCCCTTACACGTGTAGAATTCTGTCACCGCTCTTTTACTCCACTGAAATAACGCTTTTGCATCAGATCAAATTTGGCCTTTTCTTTTCCATTTCCCATTTTCTCCTCCCACAACCTCAGTAACAGTAAAACATAAACAAACACGGTAAGTATTGGATCTTTGCACTGTCTGATAAGCTGCAGAGATAATACATTTGCTCCGTTTTGTGAAGCAACAGCTCATCTTCCTCTCAGAGAATGACAAGTTGACTCAGCTGCTGGGGTTGAGTTGACATTGAGTTTCTGTAGTCTTTTAAGCCATGTGTTCACCAAGTGTTTTTTTCCCCAAAGCTAGCGTATTTCCAATTGTTTTCAACGGGAGTGCTGCGTTTTTAAAACACAAGGTTAGGAGGTGGGGGGTAGGTAGATATACTGTATGGGGAATATGTATATCAATTCGTTTGATTGCCATCTGCCAAAACATTGAAAACAATTAAATCATTAAAAACGTAACATTCTCATTTTCAGGAACCATTGTATGTGGGTGGGACAAGACACAATGATATTGACCCACTCACATCAAGCACTCACAGCTAGGCATTTTCATCTCCCTAAAAACGCTTTAGTGGGCACCAGGCCATATTTGCACTCACAAACACAGTTGCAGACAAATGAAATGCTTCGTTTTTAATAATCTTACCTTCTGGATCAAAGCTCTGGAATACTCGTCTGGCCAGCTCAGATGGGGACTCTGGGGCAACCAAAGCCATCTCCTAGAGAGAAGGAAATATGAAATCGAAATGAGTGTTGTGGTATGGGAGGCATTTTTGCAATGTTAAAATACTGTTATTTCAAGTTTAATGTGTAGAGACAAAGATAAGCTGTTAAGTTGATATCCTGTTCATGATTGGATGAGGAAGCATTGAGTTCATTTGGCCTAAGTGTGACCATTCTCTTTGAGGAACCGAGAGGCATGACCTGATGATGCAATGTGCATTAAGGGCCCTTGATAAAATATGACAGTAAAAATCTGAAAATGTTTACATGAACTGTACTTGCATCAGTTTGTTTGTGTGTGCATTTGCGAAGTGACAAAGTGTATGATTATGTTTTGGGAGTGTTTAAATGATCAAGAGATAAACTCATAAATGGGAAAATTGTACTTCCACCAAGCAATCTTACAGATCTTTAATGAAAACAATCTTGAAAACAATCTCTCTCCCACATGCACACAACTCACAAACAGACTACGGATTTCGCTGATTAATAGAAAACAAACCAAGATCCATGTGTGTTTGTGCTTGGGACAATAAAACACATCTGTGTGTGTCTGTGTGTAAAAAATGACTCAAGCTGGAATATGCAAAGTCAGCATGCACAGCTGAATCACGTACAGTTCACAGAGTTTTCCATCAGTACATTACAATAAAGTTCACAGTGTCATTTAACCTCATATAGGAATCATGATTTGGAACTACTGTAGACAGCATATTTGGGCAGCATTTGAACATTTATTCACATGTACAAGATGAAAGAAATGCAATATCATGGACAACAACATATCCATAAAATATATCCACTTATTAAAAATGTCCTATTTAATCTTTTTTTCTTTAACCACTAAGTGACTAGAAAGTAAAAAAAAAAAAAAAAAAAAAAAAAAACAGTTAAAAATGTGAAACAGAGCTAGAGTGATGCAAACTTAATCTGACCTCTGTTTTGAACCCATTCACTCCCGTCACCTGTCTTTTGCTCACACACTTTCTGATTCCCATTATTAGAAGGTGAGACAGGAGATTATGGGCTTAACTAGTTCTCATGCTGACTGATGGTCAGAAACAGGTCAAGTTATCAAAACACTGCATTGGAATTCATCAATACTCTTTGAATGTGGTGAACAAATTCCAATAGTAATATGTTATAATGCCTTTAATTAATAAACCGCAAAAGACTGCTGATTAATTGTGTGTATTCAAGTCTGCAAGTTCTAAGTGAATGAGAGGCACAGTTTCGTCAAAATACAATTCAATGTTTTTTACATAAACTAATTGTTTTACTTTCATTCGATTACTTTTTTTTGCGCAGGCAAGACCCACGCACATTTTATTAAGAAAATCGAACAGTCTAGAAAAATATTAAGTGTTTTACTGCAATCAAAGAGAGCAAACAGCAATGAACATACAAACACGGTCATGGAAGAGTGAACATAAACACAGGCAGTGAACTTTCACAGTATGCTTTCAGTGCAAAACTCACAAATATCTCCTCTTATTTCACAGAGAAAATATACAGCTCAGAGTCACACTAAGACAGAGGGACAGAGCAACCAAAGAGATAAAACACTAAAGAAAACGAAGGTACAAAGGACTGAAAAAGTAGATGACAAAGAGAAGTTGCAGCTGGATACTGTTTGCTTTAAAGTGTAAATTGCAGGTTAGATTTTTCATGAAGATAATGCAATGTGCTTACTAAACAAAGATAAGAAACTCCCACAATTGTTTTTTTTATACCAAAATGCTGCATATAATATGAAAAGTTGGTACATTTTACAGTGGTTAAGCACGCACCCTCCCGTACACTAGGCTGGGCATGACGTCATAAAAGGGACTACAAGCTTGTACTGTCTATGCCAGGTCTATGGGTATATACAAATAAAAATGTATAAATGTTTTTTTTTCCCCCCTTCGCTCAACGCTGCAAACATGTTATAAATAGAAACTCTGGCCTGTATATTGTTTCTATTTTTTTTTAAGTTGTTCTTGTTGCTTTTCTGCAACAGATGAATAAAAATGTATTCGTTTTTATGTTTTATTCATAGATATTTCTAGTTCCCGGGAGTCCCGCGAATCGTTTTATTTTCCCTCAACCCGAACACACAGAGTGAGTGCATTACCACCTGCGCTCCCTCTTATGGCATCATCACCCAGTTACTGTAAAAAAACATGCTACCTTTGAGGAAACCCCAATAAATGTTATTTTAATGCATTTTAAGACAGACATTTTTAAATATATACATATTGAGCACTTTAATTTACACATTAATTGGTTGTGGTGGTTGACACTTAAATACTACAATTTGAGCTGGTACTCCACAGAGACAAACTAGACACCTTTCCACAGTTGAATTGCAGATAGTCAGAATAAAATTAAACTTTCAGAGCCCTTGCCTGAGGCCATGCTGAGTTATAAACCCTCATTCCTCAAGAAATGATTTGTTAGTTTTAACTTAAATCAGAAGCACATAGCTCAGCAGTGGTGAAAGACTGAGAAAAATGAATGAGTGCTTAATAAAAGTGAGAAGATCTCACCTCAAGCCATCCCAGGTTTATATGACTTTAGTTCACGAGTCTTTTTGTTCGAATACAAGTCAAGTCGCAACTTAAGTGTAACTCAAGTCCAAATCTCAAACTGGAGTTTCCATCTTTAGTATAATGTCTTTTTTTACTTGGATGTGAAAACAATTCTCTTAGCGAATGCTGTAAAATATACAGGGAAACTTCTAACTGTGCAGTGTGCACAGTACATTACTATTGTAATTTTAAAAACCATGCAGTTCAAGTGCTATGTTTAACTGGTAAAACTGCTCAGTGAATACTAACTGAAGTAAACAGTATTTCTAGTGTAAAACTGTTCTTATAAGTCATTTTTAAATGTATTTTTATATTATCGAAAGTAATGATAACTTGATGCTGATTCAGTAACTGCATAAAGACCAAAGTCAGTCATTGTGGAGATTGTCAATGAAGCAAAATGTTTTGTTGGTCAGAAATCTCAACACACTTGCAAATACCTTACTTATTGTGTGTGTGTGTGTGTGTGTGTGATATTCGCCATGACACTTATTTGTGCACATAAACCCTCCACCTCACTTTTCTCGCACACAAACACACTCTGAGGCTCCATGCTAATAACAAATGAGTGCTTGTCTTGTCATAAAGTCTGACCCCTGGTGACAAAAACAACATGCTGTTCCGCTCATGTTTACACTGTGGCTTCACAACAACGCAACCAGGCCTGTAATCAACCATGCCGTGTCAGCTTTCCTCCATCTCTTGCACACACACTCTAATAGTGGGGAATTACAGAGTAGCAAGTTGGGCAAAGACTTCAGCCCGCGGAAGGATGGTTCTGCACAATGAGTGATCTGACCCAGACAGATATATGGAGCCACACAGAAGTGGGATGCTCGACACGGACCTGCTATTCTGGATGGTTTTGGGTTTCGGGGACACAAAGAAAATAAAGCCTCATTTATTGACTAAAAAGTAACAAAAAAAAAGACTCAAATGCAGAATGCTAACATGGTGCTAAATTATACATCGTAAAGGAGAACTGTCAAGTCCCGTAGGTGTTTTTAGGCCAAATGCCTTGAGCGTTTCTGTCAGGGCATCTGTAAATATTCCTAATTGCGCTCTGTGCACTTAGATACGGTTATATTATATACGCTTGTTCATAAAAAAAAAAGCTCAGCAAGCATGATTATTCAACATATCTGTAAGGCAGAGTCTCATATAAAGAATCCTGAGTCTGGCTTTCATTACTTTTCTGAGACCCAAATACATGCACACACACTCTGGAGACAGCAACAGTCAGATCCATAGATGGAGATCAGAAATTCTCTCACACAAGAGAGAGAAGAGCCAATAGATGCAGATGACTGAGCTTCAGAAATATCCATGAGACTGAACATTAATCCCTCATGAACGCACACACAGAATCATTTTACCAGTGTTTATGGGCAGCGTTTTCTTTTGCAAATGTGAAGAATAAATTACTTCGCTTATACAAGCAGAAGATAAATAAAGTACAAAAAGACCTTATCCTCAAATTTAAGAAAGTAATTTGATTCAATAACAAGTCCTTTGTGGATAAGTGATAAAAAAACGTCAATAGTGTTCTCAACTCTGTTTTTAGAAAGTTAGGAATAAAAACTAGAAACAAAAAGTCTGTGTTTAACCTTAAAAGGGGATGTGAGATTGTTCATTAGACCGAACATGGTTTTTTCCTTAACACTCCTGTCATCCACACAAACCCCAGGCCAGTCTGATAGATTCCAGCTCCAGCAAGATAAAATCCCAAAGTTAAATCCCAGATGAGATTCAAGCTGATTCCATCTGGCCCTCAAATCTATTTCTCAATTTAACTTTAGTAGGAATTAAAGAGACACATGTTGACACAGATCATTATTTTTAAATCAGAGTGTGCAATTTTAGTTGAGAGCATAGTTCAACTTTATCCAAATGAGCAGCAACACAAAGAGACTAACAATGGGATTTTTAAAAAGCGTCACTCATCTCAGTGTCCAATACGCTGATTTCACGCAGCTGCCATTTTGAAATCAAAAGCGAGTATTTATAAGTATAAGTATATATAAGTATTTATAAATGTCACTGTATATAGTATTAACTATGAAAAAAATGCATGTACATTTTTAGAATAACAAATTTCTACATTAAACACAACAATACGCCACCGCATTCGCAACTCTCCTATGATTAAAGGCGACACTTCCGGTTTTCTTCCCCCGGAGCCATTTCAAAACACGCGTGCTGACTGAATGATCAACAATGAAGACCGTGCAACAAAAGTTACTTTCTTTGCCACGGACATATCCGACTGAACTACAAACTTTCCAGTGATGTCTGTGAAAAAGGGAATTAGAAATATTTAATTATATTTTAATTAAATGTAATATTTAATTAAATATTTACTTCTCTGACAGTCTACTCTTTTATCCCGATTACACACAAACTTGGTACACATGCTGCATGGT